GGACTTGGTTTTCTGTCAGGGATGGGAGGAAGGTGGCGGTGTTGAGGAGTTATCCATCTCTCCGTTGCCATGGACCGACCACCACCTGGTCAGCTTTAGACTCACTGCACCCCTAACCTCCGCAGAGGTGGAGGACCCATTAAGTTGGTCCGCCCCAGGAGGCTTATGGATCCGGATGGATTCCTGACGGCTCTTGGGGAATTTCCCGCCGCCTCGGTTGGTGATCCTGTTGATGCCCTGGTCGCTCTCTGGAATGGGGAGATGGCTAGGGCAATAGACACGATCGCCCCAGAACGTCCCCTCTCGAGTAGCCGAGCTAAACCAGCTCCTTGGTTCACTGAGGAGCTGGCAGCGTTGAAGCGAAAGAAGAGGGTACTAGAGAGCGTGTGGCGTTCGGATCCGAGCGAGCCAAATCGAACACGGTTTGTGTCCTTTTTAAGGGCATACGCCGCGGCAATAAGAGCCGCAAAGAAGACCTTCTTTGCGGCCACTATTGCGTCTGCAAAGAACCGTCCGGCTGAACTGTTCCGAGTTGTCAGAGGCCTGTTAAAGCCCACCATGCAGGATGGGTGCCCTGATGACTCGGCAGCTCGCTGTGAAACCTTTGCTCAGTTCTTTGCAGACAAAGTCGCTTTGATCCGCTCTGGTCTGGATACCATATTAACGGCAGTCTCTGAGGATGTAACACGAGCATCTGCTTGTCCGGTTTTGATGGATTCATTTCAATTGGTTCAATCCGAGGATGTGGACAAGGTGCTTGGAGGAATGAGAGCTACCACATGCATCCTAGACCCCTGCCCATCCTGGCTTCTAAAGGAGGCCAGAGGGGGATTGGCCGAGTGGGTGAAGGTGGTGGTTAATGCCTCCCTTCGGGAGGGCAAATTTCCAGCCAGCTTAAAGCAAGCTGTAATAAAACCGCTGTTGAAGAAACCATCACTGGACCCCACTCAATTCGTCTATCAGCCTATTTCCAATCTCCCCTTCTTGGGCAAAGTCCTGGAACGTATGGTGGCCTCACAACTCCAAGTATTCTTGGAAGACACGGACTATCTGGATCCGGCACAGTCAGGCTTTAGACGGGACATGGAACTGAAACAGCCTTGGTCACCTTGGTAGATGATCTATGCCAGGAGCTAGACGGGGGAGTGTGTCCCTGTTAGTTCTGCTGGACCTCTCAGCGGCCTTTGATACAGCTGACCACGGTATCCTTCTGGGACGCCTCTCAGAGATGGGTCTTGGAAGTACTGTTCTGTAGTGGCTCCGCTCATTCCTCGAGGGTCGGTCTCAGAAGGTGTTACTGGGAGACTCCTGTTCAACCCCACAACCTTTGTCTTGTGGGGTTCCTCAGGGTTCAATATTGTCTCCCATGTTGTTCAACATCTACATGAAGCCGCTGGGTGAGATCATCCGGAGTTTCGGGGTGCGATGTCATTTGTACGCAGATGATGTCCAACTCTGTCACTCCTTCCCACCTGCTACTAAGGAGGCTGTCGAGGTCCTGAACCGGTGCTTGGCCGCTGTGATGGTCTGGATGAGGGCGAACAAATTGAAATTGAATCCAGACAAGACAGAGGTACTCCTGGTCAGTCGCAAGGCCGAACAGGGTATAGGGTTACGCCTGTGTTAGACGGGGTCGCACTCCCCCTGAAGACGCAGGTTCGCAGTTTGGGTGTGATCCTGGACTCATCGCTGAGCCTGGAACCCCAGGTTTCGGCGGTGACCAGGGGAGCATTCGCACAGTTAAAACTTGTGCGCCAACTGCGCCCGTACCTTGGGAAGTCTGACTTGGCCACGGTAGTCCACGCTCTGGTTACATCCCGTTTAGACTACTGCAACGCTCTCTACGTGGGGTTGCCTTTGAAGACGGCTCGGAAGCTCCAATTAGTCCAACGGTCGGCAGCCATGATACTAACTGGAGCGGAGCGCAGGGAGCACACAACTCCTCTGCTGCACCAGCTCCACTGGCTGCCGATTTGCTACCGGGCTCAATTCAAAGTGCTGGCGTTGGCCTTTAAAGCCCTAAACGGTTCTGGCCCAACCTACCTATCCGAACGTATCTCGGCCTATCAGCCCACCAGGACCCTAAGATCTTCTGGGGAGGCCTTGCTCTCTATCCCGCCTGCTTCACAGGTGCGGCTGGCGGGGACAAGAGACAGGGCCTTTTCTGTGGTGACCCCTCGGCTCTGGAACGCCCTTCCCATGGAGGTAAGATCAGCCTCCTCGCTGATGGTATTCCGAAGAAGACTAAAAACTTGGATGTTCAAGCAGGCATTTGGCTAATTCGGTGCAATGAATGTGTTGATTACGGATTGGTAATATGGATGATGCAATTGGACCACGATTTTAGTTAGGAGATGTATTGGATTGTGATTTCGTGTAATATTGTGTATTATGTTTTTTATGGTTTTAATTGTATACTGTGCACTGTATATTTTGTTGTAAACCGCGTTGAGTCGCCAATTAGGCTGAGAAACGGCGGTATACAAGGACATAAATAAATAAATAAATAAATAAATAAATAAATAACCTGCTGATATGAGTTCTGGATCAGCTATCAATCACGTCATGCTTCTCCATGTATCTTGTTCAGCTAACTTGTAACCAACCTGGACTGGGCTTGACACTCCTATACATCAACCATTTGCTTCCTCAGGCACTTGCTGACTCGTGTTCAGGACAATCTTCTAGATGCTGTTGCCTGCATCTCCCTTTTTTCCTAGATCCATTGATTAGGGATAGTTTGAACTGCAATCCAGTAACAATTCACCTGAAAAGGGCACAGATATTGCTTGTTTTGCACATTTCAAAAATTTGTTCTGAATTAATTTTATCAGGCACTCTTCTAATAATAATAATAATAATAATAATTTATTTGATCAGTCATATGACCATTTCAAAATAGAACACGAGTTAAAAACAAGGCAACAAGGTGAAGACAGCAGCTGACCTTCTATTTATAGTCAGATTTTATTTTCCTGGTTCTTCTTTCAGGAAATCTGCTCTTTTCTTAATAGCTTTCAGAATAAAAAGGCTTACTCTGATTATGCTGGATCTTTCCTGCCCTTGCAAGAGGGATGTCAGAATATCATTTCTGTTGGGGGACCTGCAGTTGGATATCAGGCACTCTTCTAGAATTTTGCAATGGGTGAAGCCACTGTTCTGTTTTTCCAATGCAAGAGCAAAAATATCTGGTTATATAACTGTCTACATAATTTTCTTATATGAGTCTACATACAACCACAGTATCCTTCACTTTTTCCCTTCATGTAATTGATGGCCCTTACATTCCCCACATCCCCTGGTTGTTTTCTTTGGATAAGTTATTTAAAATAGCACTAAAAAGGGCATAGAAAGAACACGAAAACAAGTACAGATTTATAGTAACAGGCATTTATAGCAATTGGGAGGAAGAATCACAAAACCACAGAGATATTCAGGAATCACCAGTGAAGTAATGAAACTGAAAGTTGTTTGATGTCTAAAGATCTATTGAAGATTTTGAGTTGGTAGACATCTACATAATGGAAAAAAAACCCTCTAGTATTCTTTTACAGCATTCCATTATTTATTTCTTCGGTCGCAGCTCATGTTTTTCCAAAGTTCAAGGATATGGAATCTTATGCAGCAAGAATGTTAGTGAACAAGAGGAAATATTAGTAGGCTAGCATGAACCACACATTTTTCAGAATGTACCATATTAACTCCCAACAAAAAACATGTGGGATGGGAGCTGTCAAATTTGCCCATGTTGAATAGCTTCAGTGATGTGGAGTAAGGGCAGTTCCCTTTGGGCATTGACGTTTCTCCCAAAAAATGGACAACCCTCCAAACAAATTAATTCCACATTACTTGTTAATGTTATTAAATATTTTAAAGAATCATAAATTTCCTTAATTTGGACATAATGAAAATTCTACTTTAAAAAATTCTACTGCAGACCCAACAATATGAACAGTGGACTTGAACATATATGACCCTATCAAGGAAATAGAAAGGAAAGGAACTTTAGTCTCATAGCCTGACAAATTCTGATATACATCATTTGTGAAAAGGGGTACAGTGACTATTTTCCAAAATGTTGAAAGTCCAAAAAGGATGGTGCAGAAAAAGGCAAAATATAATGATAGTATCATATGCCCTTATACACATCATAGGTTTTTCTGATACCTTTGGTATTGCTCAACAGGCATTGGTGAGGCATTCGTGCCACTGGAAAAATAGCTTCACAATGCTACCCTGCTTGGCACTTCCTTTTGAGGGGTAATTCTCATTATCTTCTAAGACTGGGAATTGTGAAAACCTACAAGCCACAATGTCCATTTTTGTTGCTCTTAAATTCTCCTGAAAAAAAAAAAGCTGTCAAAACCCAAGAATAATACTTTTGGAATTTTTCAAGGAATGCAAGTTTCCAGGATGGATCTAGACCAGGCATGGGCAAATTTCAGCCCTCCAGGTGTTTTGAACTTCAGCTCCCACAATTCCTAACGGCCTACTGGGAAATGAAGTCCAAAAGACCGGGAGGGCTGAAGTTTGTCCATGCTTGTGCTAGATGTTCCATATTTGTACTAGGATGCAGGCTTTGGGGAAGACAAACCTGAAAAGGCACAGCCCTCGTCAAAAGACATTCTCAGTTATCCCCAACTGTCTTTTTGGAAATGTAACAAACTCTGTGCATCTTCTGCAAGTATTCCATGATCATAGTTCTCAAATGTGCTTCCAGATTTCAAATAATGCTAACAATTTTGGTATTTGTAATACTGTAGCAGAAATAATCGGATTTTGTGTGCTTTCAGATCATACTACTAAATATAGCACTGTCAAGATACCACAAGCCAAAGAAGAATATAGTATTTTTTTTTCATACTGTATCTGCATATTCCATTCTGCTGATATCTAAATTCTTGTTGATCGAAGCTGTCATTTCATTTAAAGAAAGCTGGCTCAACGCCTGAGTCTTGATTCAATACAAATGTGATTGTGGAAAATGACAACATAAACAGTTCAAATTTTAAGCAATTTATTTCAGTAGGAAAATTCTATTTTTAAGTCTGTAGTTTAAGCCATGTTGAAATAGCTTATGCAAACACACAATTCAAACACGCACACATGGTAAAGTATTAAAAATTAGAAGGTGAAAAGAATGACAAAAAACAGCAAACTGCACATCACTCATAGAGGTCATAGTGCATTCATCTCTTATCAAAATGGTGCATCAGGTCAACAGAGAAGAAATACATTAAAAATGGCCTGTGTTCAACATAATGTAGACTTTGTATGCATGGAAACTGAAATATTTGAATGGTTGTATGGACGTTTTTTTAAACTATTAAACGGTAAAAAAGACAGTACGCGAAATCCTCTTTACACCTTCCACTGAACAAGCTGTAGTAGGCTTATGAGTAGCTTTGAGTAAGCAAAAGCGACCAACTTTTAATTTCAGAGTCAAAACAAGATAAATATTTTGCTTCTAAGTTTTTCAATAATGCCTAAATAAACTCTTTGATGAAATACTACAAAAAAAATTGATTCTGATTTTCTCATGAATGTTACTTAGCAATTGCCCTTCACAGAAAGCTAAAGAATGCAAATGTGGTAATATGGATTTTTTTTACTCTGTAGGTATTACACTTCAGATTTCAGACATGACTTGATCCTTTTTTAAAGTGTTAGGTCACTAAAATGACAAGTGGCATTTTAAACTTTGAGTTTTATTAGAAGTTGTTCATAGTATCGACTTCTATGAACCAATTAATTCTACATAAACTGTATTTTTTCTAGTCTGAAAATCCAGATTGGCAAGAAAAAGTATACTTACAAATTATTTTTGTAGGTATTTTTAATGAACTCGGTGGCTTCCTCAGACATTTACTGTAGACATTCATGCAGGTCCCATGTGACATTTTCTATGTAGTGAAATATGAGCACAACCTTGAGGCACAGCATATACACTGACTTAACTGTTAAGAGTAAAATTCTGAACTAGACTTCATATCAACTGTAAATCATTGCTTTAAAAAATAAAGAGTGGAATGAATTGGAACTTCCAGGTAAACCAGAAAATCTCTAGAACCACTTTTTAAAAGCAATTGTGACTTTCAAACCAAAAGGGAGGAGAAGACTGAGCTGCTCTGCTGGTTATAAAAAATCCATACATATAACTGAGGATTTGCATGAGTGGGGAAATGCATAGAAACAGTACTTAGTGGATTGCCCCTTTGGTCTTCAGACAGGCAATTAAGGCACTGACAAAATCTTATACAGATATAACGTCCATAACCCTTTTAAAGACAGGCAAGGATATTCACCTTTGGAGGATCTTATCATGCTTGTTTATATTTTAATAGCAGTGTTTTAAACTTAGACACAAACCATTTTTAATGGGGCAAAGAAGGAACTTGAAATACACAATCTCTAGAATGTCTGACTTTTCAGGGAAAAGAAAACTGGTAATTTAGTGTCAGTTATGGTATTTTCAAGCTTTCATAGCACACTAAGGAGATCAAGATTCATGACGTTTAGGAATAAAAAGGCAACATACTCCCCCCAAAATGAGAAAAAAAGATGCAATTGGAAGAGTCATAGGAAGAAAACTTATTTGGAAAAAAGATGTGTTGTATGAGTAATTTACACACACATACAGGAATGTGCTTTGAAATTAGGAAGTAAACTACAAGTTACACTAAATTAGACAGCATTCTTTCATATTGCTCTTTCTATCCAGAAGTGACGTGTCTGTAGGAACGCAACAGGAATGTATGTTTTGAGTGAAATCCACACCAAATTTTCTCAGGGATGTGGTTCCTGATAATTTCCACCTAGTAAAATATGTACAAATCAAAACACATTTTCTGCAGTGTAGATTTTCCCCTCTATGCCTGAAGTATACCTCGTATAAGAAAAAAAAATGTGTTTGTTAGTTGCAGCTTCATCTCTTCTTGTCTACTACTTGGCTGGGTGATGATATAAAAACTGTCTGATGGTATTAATGAACCCTACATCCCATTGGCTAGTTAAAAATCAACAGGATAAGAACAAAGGATAGAGGGGAAAAGTTATATATACTGAGCAAAATACTCTGGAATATATAATATGGAAAATGAAGAAAACTGATACGTGAGTTTTGTGAAAACAGCCCAAAAATGAAGCATGTAACAAAAGTTCACCAATCCAAATATGTATGGTGAAAAGGCAGGACATGAATATGTAAGGAGGAAATTGGTGCAAGAGGAAGGCATTCTTCATTTCTTTCTACTTGAGTGTAATTTTTTGTGTGAACAGAGTTTGCTACTGGATTAAGCATTATGATAATCACAGACTATTTCAAATAATATTCTTCATGTGCTGACTGAAAATGTACTATGGCTCAAAATTCATACTGAATCACAACACACAAGCAGAATTTCCATATTCTGCTTTGTTTTGTAATCAGAGAATTCAGACATGCAACGCGGTTTGTGAACTCCAACTGTGTGGATCACTGGATTAAAACAGGTCATTGGTATTAAAGATGCTGTTTTACTGGGTTTAGGTGGAATCGGATAACAGATCATTAGACAAATATATCTATGTACTCAATAAATAGTTTTCGGATACAATAAACATTGGAACTCATATTCTCAGTTCATCAGAATCCAATGAATTTAAATTACAATTCCTGTAGGAATGAAGACTCACCCAGCTATCTCAGTAATTCTAAAAAAATATTAGTGCCAGTAATCTCAGAAGCTCATTTAGACTTAGACTGGTCTACTAATTTTAATATGTGGATCTGGTTCTGAAGTCATCCTTTCAAAATAAAGAATGTGTTTTCACAAGATGTATAAAAAAGATCTTATAAGCAGGCATGAGATAACCTTATTTGTGGGGGTCACATTGGGAGCCAGGGCAGAACAGACGGGTCGGGATGGAGGGGAGCAGGAAGGAGGCTGAGGACAGTTGCTGCGGGGGGGGGGGGGGGGGGGGGGTGATTGATGGTTGGTGCAAGGGCGGTTGGCATGGGGGGAGGCCGGGGTGTGGTTGGTGCGGGGGGTGGGAAGTCTGTGGATGTAGTGGCCCGATGCATCCCTAGGCTCAGAGGAGACATGTGGCTGGCGAGACTTTCAGAGGGCACTTGCCAGCAGCATGTCTCTTCCCCGGCTCTCCTCTCAGCTTGGGGATGCAGCTTGAGAGAAGAAGGACTGAGAGAAGAAGGAAACACGTGGCTGGTGAGAGCTTCCCGAGAGCTCTTGGCAGCTATATGTCTGCCTCAGCCCTCCTCTCAGCCTGGTGACGTGGCAGACCACCACATCTGCATACTGAGAAGAGGGCAGAGGCAAATGGGGACACAAGAAAGAGCTCAAAAGTCTGCATCTAACCCGTGGGCCTGGGTTTGCCCATGCATGTTATAAACTATGCCTTAATCTTGGATGGGGAAGTGAAATTTGGTGTAAGATTTAAGAGTTTTAACCTTGAAAGATGAACCACCATCAAAAAATAGAATGATTTAATATTGGAGTGATTGCCTCAGTTAGCCTAAATTAATGTGGAATAAACTATAAAATGAACATGATAGCTCACTCAATCTGCTTTTGAAATTTACCCAAATGACATACGGAAAGTACAGGGAAAAAAATAAGCTAGCCATCCACTTAGGTATTGAGTTAATCCATTGGAATACTCTGTGTGGTCTTCACTGAAACAGTGATATTCTTCTCTAAAGTGAGATGTAGTGAACAAATCTATGCTATGAAAGATTGTGTAGACTGAAGCAAATAATAGAATACAGTTAAACTGGATGGAGGAGGATGTGGATAGAGTATTCAAAAATTCACCACGTCCCACAGAACTTGTCAAAACCTAATGCAATTTCCACATGAAAAAATCTTGTGTAAATTATCATTAGCAAAACCAGCATCATATGCCTCCCAGTTGCATCTTTCTTGAAATAAAAAAAAATAACAAATAAATTCAACAAGCCTGTATCTAATACTAGTGTTTTTCTCTCTTTTTATAATATATATATATTTTAAAAAATCAAAATTCCACAGGGTTACTAACCACAAAACTAAAAAAAGGAAGGAGAAGGAAGGAGCACACACACGTATAGTGTTTTTTTTCTTTTAAAAAACGTACTTTGAAAAGAAACACACAGTAATTTTAAAAATTGGAAAAAAGTTGTGCAAACTCTGTACAGTAATACTGATGGCTATAAAGAGGTTTCCATGAAACACCCGATGGGTTACTGTGGAAGAAGCATACTAGAAGTGACTCAGAACAAGCAAGTTTCCCTTTTTGAAGCAAGCTTCTGCAAGATCAGAATTGAGCATTCATTTCCCAATAATAAAGAATCGAACAAATTACAGCTGTTTAATATCTTTTTCACAGGGGAAAAGGATCCAATTTAAACTTCTTTGAGGGCAATTTTTATGCTGCTTAAAGCACAACAAAGTTTTCAAAAGGAAGTAACTCACGGAAGAGCTTGGGAAGAGAAATACACATCATGCTGATTGAAGAGTGTGCGTCGGTTTAAATATATGGAGGAAGAAAGGCTCAGTTTTGATCCGCAGACATTTCCCAAAGCTGGCTTTACAAAATCATGAAAATCGTTTTCATCAGACAACAAAACGGAGAGTGTGATACTTAAATATCAAGCTGTTGTGCCACTTGCAGGAAACAAAAGCAATGTAGTGCTTTGTGAAAAGAAAAAAGTAACTTGCATATAATACAGTTCTTACATCCTAAGCTTAAACAAACTGAACTGCATCCCCAATTATCTGAACTTAACGAAAGTTGATGCAGACTGGAAGGATGCAGGTACCATTTGCACATTCTCTTAAGAACACACATGCTACATCCTCGCAAACTTGCCCTCGACACAATCCCTTTTCTACAACAAGAAAAACTGCAAAGAAATATGGGCTTTAAATTAAAAGTTAACACAAATGCAAACTAGTTATAAACTATTTAACCTAAGCACAGCACCGCCAGAGGATTCACACACACATACTATTTGGTGTTTCATGTTGGTTTTCCTTTCATTCTTTAAGGCAGTGGTTTCCACAGGTCAGTTAAGAGAATTTTAAGTAGCAGTTCATGGCAGTTCATGTTACATTTTACACTTTCATCCCCTGAATTCTCAGTGCTTTTGTTGCTGTTGTTGTTGATCAGTACTCTAGAGACATGAAACTCTGATTGCAATCTTCATTCTGGCCCAGAAGTATAGCTGGTATGCGTTCACCAGGATTTTCCTCATCAAATTCATCTTGATTCAGGCTCTGAAGAGGCTTGTCACTCAAAGGTCATCAAGTTGGCAGGGACCTAAAAACGTAGGCAATGATTTTGCAGAATAAGTGAGTTCTTCAGCTTATATGGCGTGAGTTTAATCTGGTTTTATGCTATGTGAAAAATATACTCATGAGAAGCTTTGGACTTAAATGCTGTCAGATTCAAATCTGTGAAACTGTGGCTAGTTTCAAAGATGATTCAGAACAACCTGGTTCCAGAGCCCAGTTTGGTTATAGCCTGTCCTCCCTAAGCATGGCTTAAAGGGGTTAGGGAGGATACACATACTTATTTATTTAGGGCTTTTATATCCCGTCTTTTCTCAACCTCCGCAGAGGGACTCAGGACGGCTAACAAAGTGGCACCCCATGGCGCCCACATCAAAACATAAATATACAATTAACAGCAATGCAATAATAACAATATAAAATAGTATAAACAGTATTAAACTGTATAAACAATATAAAAACAATATAAAAACAGACAACAAATAGTCAGTGGTAACTGATTTAAATCATTATCCAAGGGCAGTCCATCAGTAGTCTTCTAGGTCCTTAGAAGCCTTTTGAAATTGAAATTAGAAACTTTTCATTTTTTGAAATTAATAAGTACATCATTGCTACATTTTTACAAAATAATGTACATTTGTAAGTACAGGAAATCCCCAAGTTATGAACAAGATAGGTTCTGCAGGTTTGTCCTTAAGTTGAATTTGTATGTAAGTTGGACCAGGTACCTATTTTGAGTGTAAGTCCAGCCAATATATATATATATATATTGAAGCTTTGGATAGCATAGGGAAGGTTTAACATCCCTGCAGTGTTTGTTTTGCTGTCTATGTCCCTGTTTGAAATATTTCACCTCACTTTGGCTTTTTGTGGAAACAAGGATTAGTGGTAAAGCTTCAGCGGAAACACTTTCCGCCATGCCAACTCTTTCAGGAGTGAATTTCCCTTCTTAGAGGAAGATTTCTCTCATTTCCTGTAGTCTCACTGCTGTTTGTAAGCCGGATGTTTGTAACTCGGAGACTGTCTGTATATCTAACTGAAGTTGGCCTTATTTGATTACAGCTAAATTAATATGGTATTCCAACAAGAAAAGGTTCCATACCCCTGGTTTAAACGGATAAGAGTTACCAGAAAGAATATATGAAGAGATGGAAAGAAAATATTGGAAGAACGATAAGAAGGGAAGAAATTTGGATCAGAAAATTGAAATATACGCATCTGACTTAAAAGAAAATTGGATAAAGATATCACATAGATGGTATATGACCCCCTATAAATTAGGCAAGTGTTATAAAAATACCAACACAGAGTGTTGGAAGTGTAGAAAAAAGGAGGGCACATATTTCCACATGTGGTGAACATGCGAAAAAGCGAAGGTGTATTGGAAGAATATACAAGAAACAATACAAACAATGCTGGGGACAAATATTCATTTAAAACCAGAAATATTTCTGCTAGGAATTACGGAACAAAAATTGGAAAATTTTAAAGATAAAATCCTGTTTCTTCTAACCGCTGTAGCCAGAATATGTTATGTAAGATTATGGAAAAAACAGGAGATACCGAGTATAGAAGACTGGCTAGAAAAAGTTATGGAAATTAGAAATATGGACAGACTTACATATTTGATATCAAAAAACAAAGGTAAACTGATAAAAGAGTCAAATTGGACGAAAGTTACAGAATATCTAAAAGAAAAGAAATATAAGATGCTAATATAGAAATTAAAAATCAACCTCAAATGAATGAAGGGGAGATGGAACGACAAAGGAAGAAAAAAGAGAGAAAAAGTAAGGAAGAAGGAAAAGGAGGACACCTCACAGAAGATACTCTGGAAGTCAAGAAAAAAAGATACTTTTTTCTTTTTTCTTTTTTTAAAAGTTATATTTCACTAGTTATTTTTTCTTCTTTTTTCTTTTATTTCTTTCTTTTTCTTTTCTTTACTTTTCTGAATTTTTTAAAATCATGTTTTAGAAAAATCTCAATAAAGATATATTATTAAAAAAGAGTTACCAGAAAGTTTTAAGAACAGAAGCAGATAGTTTTGGTATCATTTGGTATGCAAAAGAAGAAAAGTAGAGGTACATATAAAGCTGAGGCTTCCAAGGATCATAAAGCTGAAATGCTAGTATCTACATGTGGAAAAAAATGAAGACATTGTGGCCTTGGTATCTGCTGAGGTTTGGTTATAGGACCACCCATGGATACCAAAATCCATAAATGCTCAAGTTCCTTTATATACAATCTAACAGTTAAATCGCATCCCTTACATAAAATGGCAAAACCAAACATTCTGTTGGAATTGGTGACAGAGCTGGGGATATTATAAAACTGGAAATGGTTAAATCTGAGGATTTACAGATGAGTGTGTGGTTGCTGATCAATTGTATTGCCCCTGGATAAAACTTACTTTCTAAATCTGTTTCCATCTAGTTTTAGGCTGGGTCTAATCACCCTGTGGGGAACCTTTTCATGATGAGCTTTGGAAGTAAAGAGGTAAGGAGAAAGGAAGGGAGAGACAGAGACAAAGCAATATAGTTGGTCCTCTTGGTCTTCTTACTGCTTTTGATATTATGAAACATGGCACACTGGATTTGCTGTCAAAGTTAGATGTGCCATTTTACACTAGTTCCATCCTGATTCAGTTGACCATTTCTAGAAGGCAGAACTGAGCAGCTATTCCTCTTCACAACAATTTAACATCTACGTAAAGCTATTGTGGAGGCATTATCAGGTAAAATTCAAGTGGGAGAAAGTCTAGGCAAAACATTCATGAATATGTAATCCAGTATCTGTTGTGTCTTTAAGATTGCCAATTCTTGGAACTCCTGCTAAATACAGAATTACTAATCCTTAGGCATTTAATTCAGTTTCATAAAGAATAAATATTTAATACTGCACAGAAAGCATTTAAATTTCATATCAGGGCACAAAGTCAGGTGTTATGTGTTCTACTATGTTATCTTCAGTTACAACCCACTCCTTTAGCATCGAGATATGTACAAGAAAGAATGAGCGCAGAGAGAAGTTATCCTAGCAAAAAGTTAGATCTCATATTTATGGAAAAGTATATCCTACAACCTTTGGTCCTCCAGGTGTTTTAGACTTCAGCTCCCATAATTCCTAACAGCTGGTATGATGGCTGGGATTTCTGGGAGTTGAAATCCAAAACAACTAGAGGACCAAAGGTTGAGAACCCCTATAACATTTTTGCATGGTAGATAGATAATCTTTGTTCAAATGAGTGGAGCATACATGGAGGGGATAAAAGGTCAAAAAAGTATATCTAAATATGAATGCAATTCCTAGAATTGTACAAAACCAAACAGAATTTTATTCAGTAACTAGCCGTCCCCTGCCACACGCTGCTGTGGCCCAGTCTGTGTATATGCGTTTTGTGTGTGTGTGTATATGTGGTTTTGTGCATGTGTTGTAATGTATTTTTTATTTTTATTTTTGGCTTTTTAAGTCTCTTCTGCTGTGTTTTTCTGAGTAGTGGTCACTCGTTGGCCTGATAGGTGTATTGTGTCCAAATCTGGTGTCAATTTGCCCATTGGTTTTTGAGTTATGTTAATCCCACAAACAAACATTACATTTTTATTTATATAGATATGAGACTATAAATATCAGAGGAGGAGGGAGGAGACAGTTCACAGAAACAATCGTCTGAAAAACTGGCTACATTGTGTCATGTAAGATGTATGCAATGTTTGATTACAATTTACAAATTACAATTAAAATTATAGTATCTTATGTAATTCTCCTTGGAGAGTACTAATGTGTTGGTGGAATCCTTACATTCTTTTTCACAACTCTGTTGAAAGCTACAGACCAGACTGTTTTTCAAATACCCCCAATGAAGATTATTGTAAAAGGTTATTTCATGGCTTACACATAAAAATCACTTTCTTGTTATTTTGATAATGTGCATTACAGGAATACTGTATAAAGATGGCACATTTTTGCATATACTAATAAATACCAAATACTATAAACGTAGAAAACGATTAAGAATTCTATCCTCTCCTAGTAATGTCATCAACCTTTAGAGACTTTTAGAAGAACAGAACAATATTCAATGTAAACCTGGTTTCCATTGAGAGGACTTGCTTAATACTCAGTTCTCACAGTTAATTGCCAAAATAACTTACCTGTTGTCTGTTGCTTTGGCAGGCAGCGCTCAGATGCTTGAACCACAGCATTGCATTCATTCTATTACCAGCTTGAAATTTGTATGAGTTTCCTAAATAGCAGCAGAAGAAAGAACTGTCCACTATGAATGATGATAAAGCATGTATTCTGCAAGTCACACAAGGTTTATGGATCCTATCTATGGTATTACACAATGTTCACATAGTAATATAAGCCCAGCCAGTATAAAACCACTTTTTTTTTTGCTTGAATGCAATACATATTTTATGTTAAGAAAATCATAAACACAGGTCGAACACAGTGAAAACACACTTCTCCTCTAAGTTTGCCATTGCGAAATCATCACTAATCTTGCCATTAAGAACTCACCAAAAAAAAAAAAAACCGAAAAAAAAAAACCCAAACAAACAGCTCCTCAATGTAATTTTGTAGTTAACTCAGGCTGTTAAACAACACGCTGTTTTGCAACTCCAAAACTATATTTAGGTCCTAAGCAAGCTGCTAAATTTTAGCAGTGCTGAGGCAGTGAAGTAGAGCTACAAGGAGAGGTGGGTAAGAAATAAAAATTATTATTATTATTATTATTATTATTATTATTATTATTATTATAATATACACAACAAGATTGGTGCACAGCAAACAAGATAACTATGCTGGCTTTTGTATTTGATCACACATCAGACACTTCCCAAGTGTCTAGGACCGTGTGATGTATCGGTGAATAATGTGTGCAGATCCAAACAGGGTGGACTTTTGCAGCTGACATATGGTAGTTTTGTCAGCGCCAATTGTTTTTAAGTGCAGGCCAAGGTCTTTAGGCACTGCACCCAGTGTACCGATCACCACTGGGACCACCTTTACTGGCTTGTGCCAGAGGTCTTTGCAGTTCAAACTTTAAATCCTCATATCATGTAAGCTTTTCCAGTTGCTTCTTGTCCATTCTGCTATTATTATTATCATTATTATCATTATTATTATTATTATTATTATTATTATTATTATTATTATTATGTACACAACCCACAGCAGATTCATTGAAGATAAAATGACCCTTGACTCACAGAGGTTGTCCACTCTGATCTTTATAAACAATTGTAAATTGGAGCTGAAACATTCTCCCTCTATTAAATAAGAAAGTGTTGGGAATCTTGTGCAATATTTCATCTTTTACAAAAAGAATCTCTGAAAATATTAGGTCTTCATTAACAAAAAGCAAAAACAGATTATTGTTTTGAAAGAAAGGAATTCCGTGAAATATTCTAGTGGCTTCTCAATATAGAACAAAGATGAATTAGTTTTTACAGTTAGGGTTGAAATTGTCTTCAGATACACTGCTATCATAAAAGAAATGCTTCAAATAAAACACTTTAAAACGTAATTTAAAAATAGAAACTCCAAAGGGAGCTCGAAAATAGAATGGGAGTCACACAAGTATCAGAGAACAGCTCTGTTTTGATTTGTTTCATGTGTGTTTTGGATTTTACAATATTTTATTGCACGCTTTTGCCATTTGTATGCCTAATAAAAAGCACACACAGAGTCCCTGTGAAATAAAAGATTAGGTATATTTTTTATAAATAAAAGACCAGAGCCATTTTTCTCTAAATATCTGCACAATATTTTAATAGTGTCAGTATTATTCAATTACTGCCAGAACAATTCTCCCGAAACCACCAGAGCTCCTGTCACTGACCTTTCTCAGAATCTGTAAGCAGGAAGAGATCTGGATGGTCTGGATCATCAGCCATCATGACCATCCATCCCACCACTGACACATTCTTACTGGGTGTAGATTTGAACTGGAAAAATAACCAAGAAAACTTCAACATCACAGAATTAAAGGAGTGTAAAAGAGTTCAGCAGGAATGCATTAAACACTCCCCCGCTTGAAAAAAGTATACTTTGTTTGACACTATGTTGCTACAATGTAAACAAATGGAGGGGAAAGTATTTGCCATTCCTTATTCAGCGACAGCTTTGATTCAGATTCAGCTTCCACTGACAAGATTATCCATGTCCACAGATTTTATAAGCGTGAGATATGAAGCCTTGTAGATCGACTCCTTATTATGGACTTTGTAATTTTAATGTTATGATTTTTTAGTCTTAATGTTAATGCTTTAAAAAAACCCTCTGTTTTTAATGTTTGTTGGGTTTTGTTTTTATTTTTTTATTAAGCACTAGTTGTCCCCTGCCACACGTTGCTGTGGCCCAGTCTGTGTATATGTTTTTTGTATGTGTAACTATGTGTATGTGTGTATATATGAGATTTTGCACATGTGTTGTAATATATTTTTTAATTTTTTGGCTTTCTAAGTCTCTTCTGCTGTCTTTTCCAGTGTTTTTATGAATGATGGTCACTTGTTGCCCAAATAGGTGTATTGTGTCCAAATTTGGTCTCAATTCGTCCAGTGGTTTTTGAGTTATGTTAATCCCACAAACGAACATTACATTTTTATTTATATAGACTAGCTGTACCCGCCACGCATTGCTGTGGCCAATCTCCCCTCCCTCTTTCTCTCCTTCTTTCCCTCCTTCCTTTGCTCCCTTTCCTTCCTTCCCTTTTCTTTCCTTCTCCTTCCTTTCTTCTCTATCTCTTCCCTTCCTTGCCCCCTTTTCTTTTCATTCCTTTTTCTCTCCTTTCTTCCTTCTCTACCTCTTTCCTTCCTTCACTTTTTGTTTCTATCCTTCCTTCTCCCATTCCCTCCCTCCCTCTCTCCTTCCTTTGTTCCCTCTTTCCTTCCTTCCCCTTTTCTTTCCTTCTCTCCTTCTTTCCTTCTCTACCTCTTTCCTTCCTTCCCCCTTTTTGTTTTCCTTCCTTCCTTCCTTCTTTCTCTTTCTTTCTTTTTTACCTCTTTCCTTCCTTCTTTCACTCTTTGCTTCCATGCTTCCTTCTCCCCTTCTCTCTTTTCCTCCCTCCCTCCCTCCCTCCCTCCTTCCTTCCTTCCTTTCTCTCTGTCTGTCTGTCTCTCCCCTTCCTTCCCTTTTTTCTGTATTGTCATTTAGCTTTTCATTATTTAGCTTTTTGGGTTTTTTAGTCCTTTGGGATGTTTTTTTTTTTTGTTGGTCTGTTAGGGATATTGTGTCCAAATTTTGTGTCAATTCGTCCAGTGGTTGTTGAGTTATGTTAATCCCAGAAGCGAACATTACATTTTTATTTATATAGATTTAATGTTTTAAAGTTTTACACTTCCGGTTCATTCATTCAGTACATATTAGATCAAATTGATTTCTACTCTTGCTTTGGCTATTTGCATATGCATTCCTAGTACTTCTATTGTGACTGCAGCATAATTTCAGTTTTAGTGCCAACTACAGCAGATGGTTCTTCTAGGCTGGCCAAAATCTTTCGTGATGTTGATATGACATTCCTCCCATCCAGGTACATTTCTTGTGATTTTCCACTATGACTTGCAACTTTTCAAAATGTATTGCAAAGTGTAGAATTTTGTTTTCTGTTCTGGAAGTTTCTAGCACAGGTCAAGGTAAAGGTCATTAAGTTTGTATCTCATACCTTGGTGTTTACTGTTATATTTTCATGCAGTTCTCCAATGATATTTTGGAGCATGAGTATGACCTGACCTCCTTGAATTACATATCTGGTTACCGATTTATACTTCTGCTTTCTTTTTTTTACCCTTATAGTGCTAAAGTGGTGTCATGTTTGCTGATACAAATAAGTTATATCAAAGAGACTTTTATCTCCCTTATTAAATCCTTAAAATAATATGAGGTACCACACATTTCTGAGATATAGTTATATATTCTAGAACACTTTAAACGATGGGTCCAGACCCCAAATGGGATCCTCTTAGCTCAACGGTGGGGTGGTGAAAAATTTGGCAACCTTTAAAGATTTCTGGACACCACCTATTTACACAAATCTGTTAGCAACAATGTGCAGTGTTCCCAGTGGAAACAAAAAAGGAAATTAACCTGTTTAACATGCTTTGAAAATGCTGATTTATTGTCAGTAAATGTTTGATATTTATACCTATTTTATATACCTATAAACCTGGGATCACCTAAAATTTCTCAGTTGGAAAGAAGTCCCAGGTGGAAAAAGTCTAAGAAGCCCTAAATCTTGTGAGAGACGTACTGACATATTTCCATGATATTAGAAATTCCCCAGCAATTCTTATTTTATGAGCAAGGTCAAGTTTTTAATTTTTAATTTTAGGGACTGCATTATATTGTTGCCTAATTATTGTACATCTCTTTGAAATCTCTACATATAAATACTTTATACATTTAAAAGAAGTTTCAAGTCTGCTTTCCCCCCCTCAATCCATTTTGGACCAGGGCAGTTCTACTTTTTTCCTATGAACTGGAAACTGTAAATATAACCAATTGCAAATATGAAAAAAGTTTATGCTAGTCCATGGTGCTTGTGGAGTCCACCCATACCTGATTTAACTAGAGACGCTAGTGACTGAACCTAAGATCTTTTGGACACCAAGTAATCTATCTCTGAACCATGAATCCATTTCTTGGCAATGTAAAAATCCACTGAATCTCATGTGAAATAGCAAACATCAAGCAGGCAAAGAAAAACCTAATATTACACATGCATCTCTGTGGAAATATACTAATATAAAATGTCATATGAAGCTTTATCCACATGTTTAGCCTGTGCAAGCATGAATTAATATGTGGTTTTGTTTACTGTAGTCTAAGCACGGAAAGCACTTCCATTATAGCACTTTCTTTAGATGCTAATTAGAAGCAGAACTTAAAAGTGACCCATACTTTACACAGCGGATATGATTTCCACAGTGAGATAAAATATTAAACAGAAATGCATAATTTATACCCTGTTGTGTGTTTCATATATATTTTGATAGAAAGGAAGTTGACTCTGAACCCCAAATGCTAAATATCATTCTGGATTTGGAAAAGCATTATAGTTGAATGACTATGGCTATAACATATTCAATGAGGGAATGAATGAGTGAAAACAGATGGCAAAAAGCATTTTTACATCTACTAATAATACTTGGTGGTACAAATTTGCTTCTCAGTTAATTTAAAACCATTTGAAAAAAACTTTATTATTAGTCATAGTGACTCAAGGTTCTGCTTCAAATAAAAGTAATTAACCTCTGAAAGTCAGAAGAAACTAATATACTCAATTTATGGAGATCAGTTTCTACTTAAATTTTCATAAACCAGCTTTGTGTTTATGCTTTAAAGCTCAGAAAGTTCCAAACTGTTAATGCAATGTAGTTCTGCAGAGTAAAGCCTGGAGGGTCTACCAAGGCCACTTTTGTTCTGTTTAATAGCTACATTGTACTTTGGTGTGCACTTTTTGTTCACAAAACTGAACTCATGAGGCTACTTACATGACTGTTTAAATTTGGATCTTACAGTAGGAAGATTTTTTTCTGTCGTGTCAGGAGCGACTTGAGAAACTACAAGTCGCTTCTGGTGTGAGAGAATTGGCTGTCTGCAAGGACATTGCCCAGGGGATGCCTGGATGATTTGATGTTTTTATCATCCTTGTGGGAGGCTTCTCTCATGTCCCCGCATGAGGAGCTGGAGCTGATAGAGGGAGCTCATCCTCCTCTCCCCGGATTTGAACCTGCGACCTGTCGGTCTTCAGTCCTGCTGGCTCAGGGGTTTAACCCACTGCGTCACCAGGGGCTCCAGTAGGAACATTATAGGTTCAAAGATTGCTGTCAATATTATTAGTGAGCAGCTGAAAAGCAGAAAATCAAAAAGGTCGGGCTAAGTTAGCAAAGACAAAAAAAAGAAGCAAATATTCAGCAAAAAAAGTTGATTTTAGAACACACAGCACTCTTGATGAAAGGTGAGGTGTGAAAATGTGAAAAGGAGTGAAAATGTTCATACTGCTGCCAAAGGGAAAAAGACAGAGTGCTGCCTGGAAAGAAGTAAGCAAGCCAAACAGTGAGGGGAGAAGAAGAAAAGGAAATTAGGACTCAAAAGACATCCTATGTATTTATTTCCAGAAAACTTGTTTTTGTTGGACTGTACCTGCGGACTAAGACTAAGCATGCTATTAAAAGATTATAATATACCATAAAATACAATACAATACATACATGCTTTCTCTCTGTTGCCTTCAAAGACTTTGCAGCATAGTAGAAAAGCTGGGTTCCACATAGAGCTGCCCAGTATTTTGTCCATGATGCTACCTGTAAAACAACCATCATATTAATACCTCTAAGGTCCCATTCCTGCCACCTAATTACTTTAAATGTTCAGCTCTACCTCCATCTCAAATTATCTGAGGAATGGGTTAGATAATTATAGCCAGCCCTCAATTTCACTGGGGTTAAGGGCACAAGACTGCCACAAAAGAGAAAAATCCACAAATAAAATACTGCTTTTTAAAATACCCGAGATAGCGTATTACTAGGAATTTCTAAGTTCTCCAATGTGATTGCATGGTCAACTGCCATTGGAAGTTGACTACCACAGAGTTATTGTGAAGGACCTACAGATTTCTATACAGCTATTCCTTCTAGGAGTCTATAGCTCCTCGAACATAACACTACCATCAATTTCAAGTGGAAATTCACCACAGTCACCCTGGAGCACCTACAGATCCCTAAAGAGACCATATTTACCAAATCTCCAAAAGCGAAACCGATAAATGTCCTCAGGTCTCTCAGACTCTGGGCCATGGCTTCCTTTATGGAGTCTACCCATATTTATTAGGGTATTTCTCTTTCCTTACTACCTCTCCAAGCATTATTTTCTTTTTTAGAGTTTGAAACAGCGCTATTAGTACATCATCGGATTTTGGTGATCTAATTATTCCAAGTGCCTTGAGGGCAGTTTCCACTTCATTTTTAAGGGATCTTATGGATGAGGTTTCTTTTTCATGCTTTTTGTTGTCACTTTCTATTCCTCTGCATTCATTATTACAATAGTTCTCTTTGGAACTCATCACACTAGAGCATGGATCCACTTTAAATCCATTTGCTGCCTCCTGCAGAATTCTGGGGCTTGCAGGGTTTTTTTTTTTTGGGGGGGGGGGTTTAAACTGCTTGGCCAGGCAGGTCCTGGGCCTCACTAAACTACAAACCCCAGAATTCTGCAGGAGGCAGCAACCGGATTTAAAGTGGATCCATGCTCTAGTGTGATGAGGTCCTTTGTCTCTGCATATAATTGCTCTTGCATTTTGGGAGCAATTATATGCTCCCAGAATGCAAGTCCGCCCCCTTTGACTTTTGCTCCTCACCTGTTCTTAACTGTTTGAAGTTTCATCTGTCATCTCTTTCTTTCTGGCTAAAGATAGAGCCATTTGATATTTTAACCTCACAATGTCACTGGCTTCAGTCCAGAATTCTTCTGGTTCCCATTTAGGATGAGTAGTGCAAATCTATTTTTATATTTATATTCTACAAGGATGTTCTTCAGGTTGTATTTTGGCGCCACGGTTATATGTTCTTCTCTAGCTTTACTCTATTTTTTAATATCAGCAGTTCATAGTTTGTTTCACAATCTACTACAGGTTTTAGTGTGTGAAGAAAGAATGAAACTTCGCCATAGTCTGCTTCTATTTATATAGTCTATTGGATTTCTATATTGATCATCAGATGATACACATGTATACATTCATCTCTTTATGTGGCTGAAAAATATGTGATGTACACTGATTGCTTTACAAATTCCACCAATCACTCCCCTTGCTTGCTTCATTTGTTGATTGAGGCCAAATTCTCCTGCAATGTTTGGTTCTGCTCTATTTAATTTTTTTGTTTTCTTATTCCCTATGATTACCAACATCTCTTGTTTTGGTGTGTGATTAATTTACTCCTGCATTCCAGCAAAAAAACCCCAACCTTTCACATTATTTTCTCTTTTGCCGATATAGTTGAATAATATATTTAGATTATACTTAAATTGATAAATGTTTCCTGAAGTCTAACCAATATTATTTGGTCAGACCTGACTGTTTGTGCCACATCTTACTATTAACACCATTCCATTTCTTCTTAGATTTTTATTTTTTGAGCAAAACACTGTAATCATTTGACTTCCAACCTGGGGGTCTCATCATTTTATTTATTTAGGATGATCTCAGCATAGTTTTTTTCCAAGGTAACAGACTTCAAGTGGGATTTACCATTGCCTTCTTCTGTGCAGTACTAGTAAACATTTGCTATAGTGCTACTGCCATTGTCCTGCACTACTACTGCTGTCCAGTAGCTGATAGTTCATTTAGTTTGGTTTCTCAGCAAAAGCTCGAATGACATGGGAGACCCTACCAGCAACACTGCTTATGTCAGCATTATTTAATTATTTATTTATCACATTTGTACCCCGCCCTTCACATCCCAAAGGGGATTCAGAGCGGCCTTACAAAAGGCAACTATTTGATCCCACACAGAGATATGTATAAAAAAAATAAATAAAATCCAAGCAATGAAAAACATAGCCTCCTGCCTCACAAAAGCAGCAATCCCACCACCATGGAGACATAGTGTCATACTAGGTGCCTGCTTAATGGTCACACATTTCTTTTGCCTTGAGAACAGACAAATCACACACAAAAAAGTGCAAAAGGCACCAGATCCACAAAAAAGAAGAAAGCTTTCTCAAAAGAAGGGCTGTTTTTACTCTACCACCTTTGCACTAAAACCTCCACTTGGGAATATATGTACAAGCCGACATGTCCAGCTACTGTAGCCTTTAATTTAATTGTCCATCACCTTCTAACGCAGGGATGGAGATCATGTGGCTTTACCTTCCAGATACTGCTGAATTATCCCTCACCCATAAATTCACTTGTTAGGGCTGGTAGAACCTGCACTCTAGCAACATTTAGATAGCAACACAATCTCCTGCTCTAAACACATCAAATTGGCTTGGGCAAATATTATATCTGCATTCCTTCTGATAAGTCTGGACCTCATTAGTGACACTTGTCTCCCAATCTGTGAACCGCAAGAACAACCAGGTGTTTCCGTATGATTTTCCAAATTAAATAAAATGGCTTAGTTTATCTAGGTACTCAACATCCAAATTTAGAGCAAATTTAGATATACATTTTCAGTCCTTTCTTGGGTCAACTCTATTGTTGAAACTGCCATGAAAATCTATCTGAAGTGCAAACATTTTTGTATTTCATCAACAAAATGACAATAGTTTCAGTTTTCTCAGATGAGAGTAGATTCACTGGAGGCTGCTAAACATTCTTCTCCATGGTGGTGATTTCTTACATGACATGTAACATGTAATAGTCATTGCACAACTGGCTTGATTCAGAAAAAACAACTTGGTATCTTCTGGCCAGGTATCCTCATAATCCCTGACCACTGGCCATGTGGACTGGGGATTATGGGAGTTATGGTCCAAGGCATTAGTCCCTTTGGGGGTAGGGTGGGCTAGAAACAAACAAACAAACAAACAAACCTGAAGATTCTGTCACTCATTGTTACAATATGCAATACTGGCAAGGAGAGTCTTATCATAAAACTATTATCATGCTATGACTTGGGTATAAGTAGTATTGTCATCATTTATATCCTGATTGCATACCACCTTTTCAGAATGGGCTTTTAAAATAAACTTCATTCCTGCTTAAAGAGTAATGCTGCTCCATTTTTAAAAAGCCCCAGGGTACCTGTTGAAAAATATAATTACTCAAATAATGAACATACAATTTACTAATTCTCTTACAGTAGGTTTTTTCCCTTCTTTCAGTAAAGTCTTCCGTCTGAGAACACCTTGAATAGTAACAGCTCCTGGATATAAATGAACAGCTAGATCTTCAGACTCTGCAGAACTATAAAAAAGGATAAATAAAGAATGGGAAAATTAAAAAAATATCCCGTAGCTATTAACATCTATGTTTCAGCTTGTGAAATACTGCCACACTCAAACATATGAATTCTAAATAATTATGATATTTTCAAAATCTAGTTCAAAGACTGGATTTGTTGAAATCATTTGAGTTACTGCAACAGAAAAAGCAGGTGTTCAATACATGCATATTACCATAACAAGATATGTTGAAAAAAGCAACAGAAGCAGCAGGAAAGCAGAAAGCTTGACCTAGAGCAGTAAACTGAAGTTGTTTTAATGCAGCATGTGTTCTAACAAGTGAGAAGCTGAGCAGCTTTTAACAGGAAATATTTGACTGACGCAACTGTTATGTCACTGTATGCCAAGCAGCTTATGTAGACAGAGACATCAACACTTCAGAGACAGTCTGAAGGAGTAAGATTTTGGAAATGTCTTGGAAAAATGATTCCATTTCCCTTTCAATTGTATGTCAAGTGTAAGTTGAGTTATCTGCCAAGCCAAAGGTCCACTCATTTTGACAAGGAATTAAATAAATAACTCAATTTCGGATTATACTTTTTTTTTTTTTTACAGTTGGTCAAACTAGGTTTCCTGGGAGAAAACATTACAGAATGAGGTTGCTGTGTATGGAAGCTTCCAAGCAGTTCTGCATAAAATGCCAATAATTCATAAGCTCTTTCCATTTATATGGCTTCGAATAAGAAAAAAAATGCACAATTCTTAATAAAGAAATTATGTTGAATATAGGTGGTTCAGATCCCAACACCATTTACACTATCATAATTACTCCTGTCATCATGCGTTACACTACGTTTTAGAAAGCACACTTATGCTTCTCTGGGTGACAGTGCACGATTTTAAGAAATTTGATTTGCAGAATAGAAGCCAGCCACAGTCCAAAAGATATGATTACGTCCCAAGAGAGGGAAGGCCTATTTTTCCAAGGAAAAGTTCACCAACATGATTTGGCAAAGCAATTAGAAACACCAGGTGTGTCAGATTATATCCACTTCAACCGCAAGCCAGTTACCAACACCAGAGGAAAAGGCTGACCCCCAACATGAGGGGTGAGTACCTGCTGCCCTTCATGTGGCCTCGATAGCCATTTCGTGCCATTCTTGTCACCGGACCAAGAGAATGGTATAATCTGGTCCTGTTGGATTCCATTGTAAATTGTATGCATTACAAATTTTGAATTCATAGTCATCATAACTTGTAAGAACACTGTAATACACTTCCTTTTTTCCATACTGTAGCTACCTCTCTTTCTGTGGGCAACAGCATATTTCATTAAGAAAATCTTTTTCTTATTTGGACACATGTTCCTATTGTGAGAAGACACAGCACAGGAATATTTTTCTTGGCGTCCCAGTGACTGGCTCAAGAAGAGGGGAAAAATTAGTTTAATCTGAAAGCGAACATTTCATTGCTAAATCTACAGTGTTAGGCTGCTGCTACTTTTTCCAAAAAACAATATAAGGAATAGAAGCTCCTGTATTTTAAGTACTCTTTCAAGGAAACAATGTTTACACTGGATAAATTTTTGAAGCAATAATAGCTATGATTTTATGATCATATAATGTTTAAAACACTGTTTCTTTGATTGAAGGATGTATTATTTTTCATACATAGCAAAATGAGATGGTCTGAAAATTACAGTATATTCTGGCGTATAAGACTACTTTTTAACCCAAGAAAATCTTCTCAAAAGTCAGGGGTCGTCTTATACGCGGGTGTAGTCTTATGCATGGGAGTTGTCTTAACTCTATATTTTAACTGGAAAAGTTGGGGGTCGTCTTATACGCCCAGTCGTCTTATATGCCGGAATATACGGTATATCTTTTCAGTTTTCAAAAAAAAAATTGAATGTTTGCAAAGAAAAGCATGATTTACAATGAGGCAATAAGAGTGTTTGAACTGCTGAACATAAACCAAATACAGGCAGTCCCCAAGTTAAAAACATCTGACTTACAAATGACTCATAGTTAAGAATTGGGGCAAGACAACTGGAAGTGAGCAATCTACCCCTAGGAAAGAAAATTCACTTCTGGAAGAGTTATCAGAGGAAAAGAGTTTCCACTTAAGCTTTCTCAGTCATCCTTGTTTCCACAACAAATAAGCCCAATTTTTCAAAATCCAATTATCACAGGGACAGAAAGTGAGGGAAAATCTTCTGAACAGGGGCACAGGCAGCAAAACAAAAACCACAGGGTGTGAATGTGAAATTCACTAAAGATTGGTGAGTAAGGTCATTTAAGAATACAAGAAAGTAGAGTGCATCTAATTGAAAATTTGCCTTGGCTCTATAGTCTACAAGATGGACAAGTGAGTGCACGATTCTTTAGTCTGATAAACCATATCATGTCTTCTTTTGAGATTAAGTGCCCCTGCAGCTGGATATTGTAATGTTGCATAAATCCGGGTGGCTGTAGCCATATAGTCTTATGTTGAAGAAGTTACTGATCTCATATACTATACCCATAAGCAGCCATGGCCAAGTTGCTTGGCCAACATCTTAGGCAAGTCATACAATCTGTGTAACCCATTTTGAGAGTTGCTGAACATTTCTGTGTAACCTGTTGTGAGAGTTGCTTTCTAGGACTACTATAGCAGTCTGTTCGGCTAAAGAAACAGCTACATGCTGAATATAAATGGTCAGTGCACACTGTACATTAAATTCATTCTGGAGAACATGGGCCTGACTGAGTCTGCCGACATGTACTCTGTACCTGTCAACTGCAACCGCTATGGGATGAATGTGTCCTCTGGAATATCAGTTCCACAGGTGAGGGAAAGACTGAACAACAGTGCTGAGTAAGTGTCTCCTTGTTTGTTTATACAACAAACAACAGTTGTGTTGTCTGAAGATATTGACACAATTCTGCCCCTCAATTTCTGCTCAAATATTTGAAAGGCCTTAATCACTGCCACACACTTCAAAGCATTGATTTGGTGCTTGGATTTCTTAGGTGGTCAGTATCCTTGTACCATGATGTCATTGCAGCAGGGCATCTTGTGAGGCATCCAAAATCACTATGCATGTTGGGTTAAGTAGAAAAAATAGCAAGCTAGCAAGAAGATTGCAGGATCTCATCTACCAGAGAAACACACATGTAATGGATCTATCTACTTTATAAATTGATGATACTGAAGAAGATAAAAATGCTTGAGAAACCAACTTTGAAGAGGATTGAATCTCAGATGTATAAGGTAAGAAAGGGCCATGATGTAATAAAAGCCCCTGAATGGTAAGTGAGAAGCGAAGGTAAGATAGTACCACACTGACTTTGTCTCTAAGAGTATCCGTTCTACTGACTGAAAGGTATGACCCACGTGGGAGTCCAGTGTTGCCACTTGTTGGCTCCAACTTTGATGTCTTGGGTTGACATTGAAATCTAGGTGTTGAAGAAAAGATATGGCTTAACATCTGCCTCTCTGGAAGTATGACACCAGAGGTCAGTGGTCCAAGTATGGGTAAATCTGTATCCCTTGAAACCTGAGGAAGAAGATCCATTGCTATAAATCTGGCAAATAACAAAGGACCCATAAAGAGCCCAAAAGGAAGCACCTTGTACTGGTAGATATTACTGCCAATTACAACTCTGAGGAACTTGAGATGTTGTGGTCTTTGGAACCATGAAGTTCCAAAAAAAATATCCATCCCTTCTGCAACTATCTGGAGCGAACTGGAAATCACTGCTAGCAGAGCTCTGGATAGAGGGGTGCGTCAAAATACACCAATTGACAGAATACCTGAAAACTCTGGTATAGCCTATATGAGCAATGGTTGGAACCCATGAATCTTTGGTGATGTTCCATCAGATGGCACAATGGCAGAATAATCTGGAAGCCTGAGATGGTATTTATTTTACACCTGATGGAATAAATATGGGCCATGCTGATGGAAGAGTAGTGAAAAGCAATACTTCAAGGAAGCAAAATACTTTTTGGAAGCGGACAACTGATACTGCTTTTGCTTGTACTGATGTCTCTTCAGGGAAGAAAATGCTACAATGATGTACACAACTTTTTTACTCCACCTTAGTTTTATAGAGATAATCTAGAGCAGAGGTTCCCAAATGTATTTGGCCTATCACCCCCTTTTCAGAAAAAAAACTGCCCTAAATCCAACTCTAACCCTGGAAATCTAACTTTTAAAAGCAAACAAAAAGATGCAGTGACAAATTTATATTCTTTTATTTATTTATCAATCTACCTACATCTTATTACATGGTAAAGAATGATATTGTTGCAGGAAAGACACTGCGAAGCTTGAAAATATAAAATTACTGATTAAGATCAACCATAGCAACATTATTATATACATGAAATTAAGATAATGAAGGGTAGTATTAAAATAAAAATTATGCGAGGAAAGAAAAAAACATCGATTTGGGAGGCCAAAAAAAGGTGCAACTATTATATGATGGTGACTATTATGCAGTGAAATATGCTATTTGAGCTTTGTCAGTCTTGGCATTAAATAAGCCTTCCCCTTTGGACTTCTAGACAATCCAAATATGAGAAATGAGGAGGGGACAAGAATAATGTAACAATCTTTTCTTCATACTTCCTAATCCATGTCAATTGCTGCATATTAAGTAAGTATGCAGAAAATGACAACGAAGATCAATAGCTTGAAAGCAGACCAATGAATGACTGGGGAGAAGTTTCAATCTACACCTCAACAGTATATTACTCATTCGAAGGAGTCATGAGAGTCTCATAGTAGCCTACTGGATTCTTACAATACTTGATGTGCTTACCATCTGCAAAAGTGGCATTCATATCTGGCTGAGATCAGGCTACAAATTCCCTTCACTTACAAACTGCTATTGTGGTATCAAAAAGTGATTTCCAGTTTAAAGACTTTTTTAGCCTTAGATGTTCAAATGTTAGAATCCTGACCTTGTAGCATCAGCTTCACTGTTTTTCTTAACCCGAGGCCTGAATTGAGGCCTGAACTATGTTGGCAACAAAATAAATTTTAAAAACCTGGTTGTAGAAGAGGAAAAGCACATCTATTGAAGTACAAAGAAGACTCAACATTGTTTTGTATTGGAAAAATCTCTCAGGGTAGATAGTGTTCTTGGGGATGGGCCTGAAGCTCAGGCTATGAAAGAACGGGAGCTGCATTTCTTTATCACTGTTTAGTGCAATAAGCTGATGATAGCTAGCATTCATACGTGAGATAACTGAGACAAAGCAACAGATGTCATACAACTGAAATATGATGCCTTGAAGAAACTCCAATACATTATTATGCTTGTCCTTTGGTCTTCCGGGTGTTTTGGACTTCAACTCCCAGAAATTTCAGCCATCTTACCAGCTTTTAGGAAAAGCTGGAGTTAAAAGTCCAAAACACCTGGAAGACCAAAGGTTGGGAATCATTGGACTCTAATAGGCAGGTGACTTTTTTAAAAAGCAGGAATTGAACAAGTACTGGTGATTCTCTTTACATTCAAGTGCAAAATAGAACAGTTTCACTTTTTTCCTAGCATATTTTCCCTGTGCTAGTAAAGAGCCACATGCTAACTTCCCTTTCAAAAAGCAATGACTCTGGGATGTATATGTCCATTGATTTTTTGCATGTTTTGTACATTTACTCCCTACATGGACATATAAAGCTATCATATGTGAAACAGCCCTCAAATACGAACAAAATGAAACTAGAGTTGAGCTTATCTTACCTTTCAAATGCTGGCCACGAAGTCTCTTCACTAAGCTCAGAGCCATCACTGCTTCCTAAAAAATAGAAATTTGAATTAAAGAACTGTCTCATTCTATGACTTTTTGTCAATTATGATAGCTGTTGTTGTGGTGGTGTACCTTCAAGGTGTTTCCAAATCACAGCAACCCCAAGGCAAACCTATGAGTTTTTCTTGTCCAGATTTATTTAGAAGTCTCTGCCAAGATTCATTCAGTGGCTGTGACTTGCCCAATAGTAGGTTTCCATGGCTGAGTGGGGATTTGAACCCTAGTCTCAAGAGTCATAGTCTAATGCTCAAACCACTACACCAGCTCCACTTTCAATTATGACAGAATGTTTCTCCAAATCCACACTTGAGCACGTTTCCTTTTACAAAACTGCAAATGAGAATTTATGAAGTTCAAGGATCCAAACATTGGGAAAAAGAAACTCAATCGTTTTTCAGTTGACTCAGTATCATATGACTAACATTGCACTGCTACCAATTCCTACTCTTTAAGGAATCACAGAAGCACAGGAGGAGACACAAGGCACATCTAATCAATCCCCGCCTCGACAGCTATGGCACGCTCAAGAGGTGGCCACCCAACCTGTTTTAAAGGACTTCCATCCATTCCAAGATGGCTATAATTAAATCTCTCAGTCTTTCTAAGATGTTTCTCATAAGCCTTTTTAGACACATATTTCAGATCTTGAACTATTGTGCTCAGAACCGGACAGTCTTCCAGGTGGCATGTGACCATAGCTTGATTCTATTACTTCATCTTGATTCTATTACTTCCCTGGAAATGAGCATTACTTTTATATTAATACAGCCTAGAACTACATTGACTATTTTGGTGGCTGAATCACACTGTTTAGCTTGTTATCTAATCTTTTTTTTAACATTCTGCATGTGTACATTAGATTTTTCTGCCTATATAGAGTATAGGCAAAAACTCATCTTGTTAGTTTTAGTTCAGCTCTCCCATCTATTAAGGTCATTTTGAACCTTGGTTCTATCCTCTGGGGCATTAGCTGCCCCTTTTAATTCAGAGTCATCTGCAAATTTAATAAACATGCTTCTATAGACATTCTGTCAGATTCACACACCACCACCCATTTCCTTCAGGAGCAAACTGCCTACTACCACATGCCTCTTCTTTCTCTAGCAGCTAGCAGACTTTCCATCCATACAACCCTTCAAGGCCACCTCCGTGTTCTCTGATGACTTATACTGTTGTCCCTGTGCCACATCATTTCTGATTGAAGGGAGAGCTTGGAATCAGTTATGTAGCCCCATATGGTTTCTGACAGTTCTGCTCCTCTGTGTCACTTTCTTCCAAACAAGATATTATTCTGTTTTTTTTTCAACAATCGCAGACAAGACACCTGTTTTCCTCTTCCTATTTCTCAAGCTCTTTTCCAACTTAAGATAATTTAGAAAACTATAATGTTGGTCCCTGGACAGATTAACTCTCAGCTTGAAATCAGCAACAGACAGAAAACATGATCTCAGAGGACTAATGTATCTTATCCTATTCAAGAGGAGAAAAAGGAATTCTCGTAAATCTGGTGCTTCCTCCAAATGAATCATTTTTAAATAGTGGCCCACTGTCAATTTTACACAGGCTCTGGAATCTAAATGTTAGAGGAATGACTCTACAATGTTTTAAAGATTAAAATGTAGAAATGAATTAACAAAAAATTAAGCTTTGAAACCTTGGATGTGAAGTAATGTATAGACCAGGATTTTTCTGAAATCCAGTAACAGCTATAAGCTAACTCGGTACATTATGGAGGGGAAATGACAGTGGGATACTTAGCAGTGATGACAAGCAAAAGGAGAAAAAATAGTCACTATCCCCTCTGGAAGAGAGAGTTTTCAGTTTATGAGCAGACTACAATGACAAGCTTCTAGGTAGGTCCTAAAGTCTAGGAAGTCTGGTTTTGCATATCCAAGCCATCTTCCTAATCTGCTTCGACTGATCATACTGGCTTCAAAGACAAACCCGGTACACACATATATAATGTCTTACAGAAGAATTCAACCATTCCCCATTGACCTTTCCCCATACATAAAATAGAACATCTGTAAACTGTTATGCCACTATACAACTTTTAATAACAACATTATGTTCAAGATTATTTTTGATTAACAATCACCTTCTGAATTTGTCTACAAATGCAAGATTGTGTCATGCTTGATACTGTGAAGTGTTAACAATACAGATCTGAAAGGCATTCTTACCACTTAATGTACGAGAAAGATTTTATACCAATTCTTGTTAGTTACTCAGAACCATACACTAGACATTAGACTGTGGGTGTGTATGGCAAGAATATTGGTATTTTAAAATCTATGTAGTAATCCTCAAATTTTCAGAACACTTAATCTCTTCAGAAATGATGGTTGCTTACCTGTAACCATTTTCTTCGAGTGGTGATCTGTGAAATTAGCACATGTGATAGTTGCTGCACAGGTGCATCAACTATCACAAGTGCTTATTTCAATAGACACCACGAAGGAGAAATCAACATTTTAACAGGTTTTCTTATTGATGAAATGATTAAAATAGAGCTCTGTTAGATCTTTAGCATTTCCTACTGGAATATGGTATGACCTGTCAGGATCATAACCTATTGGGGATTATGACTTGTTAGGATTATAACTTATTGGGTAGCAGAGTTTCAGAAGTGTTCCTTTAGTTTATTGGGTAATGGATGATCACTGGGCATATAAATATCTTGCTTCTATTCAATGCTCTCAGCAGACAAAGAGTAAAAGTTTGTTTTACTCACAACTTCATGTATTTAATATATGGGCACATTTCTTGTCAGGTTGAACTCTAAAATGTTTCTGTTTGTATCTTTAACTTATAGACTTTATCAATCTCTTCAAAACTATATTGCTCTGTACAGTTCTCTTTCATAACCATCTACTTACTAGAGACTCAAGCCTCAACAGTTTTCTAACTTCCTACGCGGACTTCTTTACACAAACTGACTCATTCCTCAACTGTCATCCTTTTAAACTGTATTCTAAACAGTCACTGAACCAGTCACATGGTCTGCAGCCCCTCCCACTGCCGCAAGTACATAGAGCTAAGAATACTGCAAACCAAAGAAGACATACATTTCAGGAAACAAATGACACATTATAAACAGACAAAACATTACATAGAGGAGGCTTGAGAAGGTTGCGATCTCCAACATTTCCATTACACATGAAGGGTCCTATGAATATAGCTTAATAATTTAAGTAAAAATGTGTACCTATTTATGCTGTTCGCTATTTAATTTTAAAATCTTGCAATCAAGTCAAGACAGATACGACTATATTATCTAAGACTTTATAAAGCTTAAAAACAACACAATATTCCAGAAATATCAAACATACGCTGAATATACACTAATATTTTTGATATCTTGAAGAACTTTGTAATACTTGTCAAAATCTCTACATTTCTTATTCTAGATTGTAGAGTCTGAAAAAAATAACCCAAAGATATGAACATATTAATAACCCAAAGATATGAACATATTAATAAATATTAAGAGTACCTTTGTTTTCTGCTGCCCTGGAGACTAGACTAGGTAAGGAAATTCCATCTGAACATTAGGAAAAGCTTCCTGACCATAAGACCTGTTCAAAAGTGGAACTCTCTACCTGGAGTATAGCAAAAGCTCCTTCTTTGGAGGTTTTTAAACAGAGGCTAGGCGGCCATCTGTCTGGGATACTTTGATTATGCTTTTCCTGCATGGCAGGGGGTTGGACTAGATGGCCAATGCGGTCTCTTTCAACTCTATGATCCTACAACAGTTATGAATTTTATTATGATGCAGTTTTATGACCCATGACATGTTATAGAGCAACAAACAAAAGATAGGTTACTAAGTTGTTTCCTATCTAAAGTTTTATAAAACGAGAAGAAAATGTTAAGAAGATGGAGAGAAGAGTAACAAATGGAAAATATGGTTTCATGACAGCTGTATTTGTTCAAGCTTTATTTCAGCATAGGGTGGGAACTAGAGCTTTAAGCAAAAGGCATTGGTAAAATAGTGAAACAGAGAAGGTTTTGATTGAAAGAAAGGCATCAGCAGCAATATCCTGCCTTTCTCCCAGCCTGGGACTCAGGGTGACTTGAAACATAGATATAAAACATAAGGGAGTAAGAATTGTATTATTTAAGAGAGTGGGCAACCTTTGGAGAACTGAAAGTGAATAAATGGATACATGGAAATCATATGTATATTGGATTATGGCAGAGAAATATGTATGGCAGAATGTGCTCTCTCTCTTTCTAGAAAGAGAAAAATGTGGTACTAGATACAGGAATGCAAATGAAGCAAATGTGGTCTGAACAACAAGAGGAGTAAATTATTTTGAAATCTATTCCAGACTTATACGGGACAATGAAGTCCCTTTCCCTAAATCTTTTGAAAATATTTAATTCAGTACAAGTCAGCAGTAAAGAGAATCTTTATTTTTGAATGCAATTTCTATGATGTATTTTAAAGGAAAGCTTTGCATGTAAAATCAGAGGCAAATAAAATCTGACACAACATTAATGTAGGCTGTGAACTGAAGCTAAAAAGGTTTAAACATGGTTAATGATGGAATGAAAGACAGTCTAACTTAATATGCTATTCTCTCTGCCCACAAGAGAGGAACTTTTTGTATTGATCAGGACTCTCTGGAAGAAAGGGAGCATGTACCATATACACTCATGTTTAAGGTGATTTCATGTAAAAGTCGAGGGCAGGGTTTGGGGCCCAAATTATGGATTTTTATATGATCAATGAATAACTTGAGGGTCATCCTGTGATTAGGGCATCCAGCTGCCAGTGGTTGCCCCCTGCTATTTCCTCACCCAGACATTCAAAAGTTTCATGGTGGAGAGAGTAGAGAGTATGAGTTTTTTTTTTTAGTTTCTTCCAGGAGTTCATGATTTTCACTATTCTATTCAGAGCTAACTCTTTTTTTTTAAAAGAGTTACTGTACAATACTCAAATCAACCCAAGTCAGCTTAGTTTTTAAAGGCTGTTTTCAAACTAAAATTGCTAGACTTATACATGACTATATAAGGGATATACTGTACATCACTATCACTGTAATTTTAAATTTACATATCTTTGTGGGTTTCCCTTTTTAATAAGATAACTGTAAAGATTGACACAAAAAAAACAGAAATACAGATTTTTAGATATATATCTAGAAACATTTTCCCCTGGTTCAGTAAACTTGAAATCTCACCTATTGAAATCCCACTAGAAAGAGTAGAGCTTTCAGCCTGCCCCCGTGATGGGGCGTGTGGTTCCATGACACTGTCATCCAGTAAGTGTCTTGGTCCTGCATTTGGGAATGTTGCACTTTTAAATTCCACTGTGTTCATTTTATGAATAAAGCTAGAAAAAAGAACAAAGATGCAAAGACTAATCGCATTATTTTATGGCATCAAAATATAATACCATAGCAATAATAATGCACCACTTTCTAGCACCTAGTTATTATATCTCCACAACCGGTTTGGAAAAGATTGTTGAAGGGTGGATTCACACTGTTCATTTTGAACTTGGGAACAAGAACTTAGCTTTAACTGACTGCATACATGTGTGCTATCCCTTCAGCAGTGAGTATCTTACATACATAAATGGATCAAATTTTCCCACAACTAACAGTATCTGCAGACGCTAGTTGGTACAGGTATCAATATCAACATTCAGGGTTGAATGTATATTTTACATGAATTAATTTTAGCACATTTAAGATTCAGGAACAAGCTCAAAAATGATGAGTTGGTTTCCTCTGTCCTCATAAAATATGCCCATCTTTTCTTTACAAGTTTTTGTGTGATTATTTATGTAAACCTAAATCAAAACTTCATTTGGATTATACTAATTAACGAGACATTAAAGATACCAAATAGTAGCAACCTTAAGAGATTGGAACCCACAAGAACAAATGAAATCATGACAAATACTTGACAGACACTGCTTTCATAGCCTTGAAGGGATAGCAAGAACATAAGACTTATTGAACCTCTATAGTCTTCCACATATGGGTGGTGGTGAGAGTTATATTTAGTTTAGTAAGGAAAGACTAGTGGAGGTCAGCTACAGAGAAATCATTTTCTATGCAATTTCAGTTTAGAAGATTCAAGCTATCTCATGTTTTATCAAAGTAGTAAGATTTTCCTCTGACACATATTAACATTAGTTTATTTGCTACAAAAATGCTTTATCTAATTTTTAAAATTACAACTGTACCAGGAAACACTTAAGCAACCTTATATTAATTCATTACTAAATTCAAATGGAAGGAAAATATAAAAAAGGTTACTACTGTGAGGTCTCGTGAAATGAAAATACAAGGTCTGAATGCTAATGCTTGTGTCCAAAATAAATGAAAGACTGACTCGTATCCTAAACTGTGACATTTTCTATGCCCATGTGGCATGAGGTTCCGAGGTGATGGAGGAGTAGGTGGTAATAAGGCTCCTTCAGCTGCAGCATTTTTTCGTATACTTTGAGGAGAAACTCCAACTTCTGGTCCTGCAAAGGAAAAAGGAAAACACAGGTTCTAGCTGAGCACAACACATATGTGTGACATTTATGACAACTTCGACTGGACTCATTCCTACTAGTCCCAGCTGACTAAAACAATAAGAAGTAAAGCTGAGCGTAACTGACATAGTGATGGCACCTAATCTCAAAACCTGTAATAACTTCCCCTGGCGGCTTCAACTAGATATGAAACAGCAAAAGACAGAGGATGAAACTGTGCTCTACCCAGTTTATTAGCCACCATGCTGAACAAAAACCTTCAATTCCTCTCTCTGAAACTGATCCTGTAGACTGTAATGCAGGAATCCTCCTAATCCCATTTGCCAGAGCTTTTCCAGTTACGATACCACAATCAATGTGTCAAAAACAAGTGAGACATCTAGGAAGATCAATTCTTATTTTTCTGGGTCTGATAGCAAGAAGCCCCTTACCATGTAGAAAAACTCTATTAGGCAGCATATTGAGGTCTTGATATTGGAGGCAAAGGATTATTGTTGCTATATAATATGCAGACTGAAAGTTTTATTGTTGCTTGGTGAATTTAACTGATCTATTATTACTAAGTCTAGACCTAATGTAGCCTTCACAGATATCTACAGAATTAATTATATCAAAATAAAGGGACTTGGGAAGATTAAAAATGAATGTAAGATGACTTCTGTAAATCACATTTGCCTCCTTAACTCTAAATGTGACAACTGATGTGATTCTAGTTCCTTTTTTACAACATAGCAGAACTCTAGAATATTCATTGCTCTCAAAGGGCATCCAAATACTCCAAAATGACAAGAACTTCCATCGCAAAATAGTCAAAAACATAAGCAGTACCTGAACTATATTATTGTCAGTGCATTATTTTTAGTGACTGCAAAATGTTTTACTTTGTATTTACATTAGTTGAGATTCTGCATCATTAAGCTTAGCTACAATGACATAGTTCCATTATCACTGCTACACGTCTAAATTTCCATCTTTATTCTTATCAAGAAAACAGTCAACTGGAAGTCTTCCAAATCTAGTCCATTTTTTCTCTAGGCAAATACAGCTGAATCAACACAATCATGTTGGCAATGTTAAATTCTTATTTTATTTTATCTGATTTATTGGATTTATACCCTAACATTTCTCCCAAAATGGGGTGCATTCAGTTAAAAAAAAGATAAATACAGGTATGAATGCCACAGAACATTCACATATAAGTTGTGGGTTGTGTTTTAGTTGCGAGGGGTTGCAATATTGTAAAAGCCCCACCATATATATACATATTTTTTAAAAGGAAGAAAAAAGAAAGAAAGAAAGAAAGAAAGAAAGAAAGAAAGAAAGAAAGAAAGAAAGAAAGAAAGAAAAGACAAAGAAACATTAAGACTAACTGGCATTTATTTCTGCATGAGACTTCATGGATATAAACCCACTTCTTCGAATTCAGTACAGAGTGATAATAAACTATATCTATGCAGTTGTGAGAGTAGGATGGAATATCGTAAGATCCAGAAAGTTGTAAACTATGTCCCTTGTCCTAAATTTTCAAAGATCTGTTTAATGTGATACAAGTCTTCAGATTTTTACAGTGGTTAGTTAGTAGAGGCTGAGCATCATTCCTTATTCAGAATTTCAAAACACAAAAGAGCCCAAAATTGCCCACATGGGTGGCTGAAATACTGACTTCTGTATTCTGGTGGTTCAAAGTACACAAACTTTGTTTCATGCACAAAATTATTACAAACTAGCCATCCCCTGCCATACGTTGCTGTGGCCCAGTCTGTGTATATCTGTTTTTTGTTTACTGTAATGTTATTTTGTTATTGTATTCATATGTTTTTTTCATGTAATTTTGATGATGTTGCTTGTTGTTTATGTTTTGGTTTTATTTTAATGTAATATTTTGTTTGGGCTTGGCCCCATGTAAGCCGCTCCGAGTCCCCATCAGGGAGATGGTGGCGGGGTATAAATAATAATAATAATAATAATTATTATTATTATTATTATTATCTGTATGTATATATGTGTGTATATATTTGTGTATATGTATATCTCTGTGTTTGTGTGTATATATATATGTGGTTTTGCGCATGCGTTGTAATGTATTTTGTTTTTTTGGCTTTTACAGTCTCTTCCGCTGTGTTTTCCATTGTTTTTATGAGTGATGGTCACTTGTTGGACTGATAGCTGTACTGTGTCCAAATTTGGTGTCAATTCATCCAGTGGTTTTTGAGTTATGTTGATTCCACAAACGGACATTACATTTTTATTTATATAGATATATGCGAACCATATATGAATGTTGTGTTTAGACTTGGGTCCCATCCCTACGATATCTCATACATCTATTCCACCCCCACCCCACAAATAAGTCAAAATAAAACAAACATCCAAAATGAAATCCAACCTGTATTCTTGTATAAAAGCTACCATGCACTTACACAAAATCAGTTTCCCTGTTCAAGGAAAGTACAAAGGAGGACTAGAAAATGCTAACTTGAATTATTTTCACCAATTCCAGTCCCTTACCAAGGATATGAAGAAAGACAATGGCTCCACAACACACTACATATATATTAACACAAGAGTCCCCACTCCTGCATATATAACAAAAGGAATCTTCCCAGAGTTTTGGAATTTTCCTGAAACATTGCAATCCTCCTTCTTAAGTTAAAACAGCCTTCAAAACTATCTATAAATGTTCTGTTAAGGTGTTAAAAAGCGTTTAAATGTTCAAACATCATTATTCCTTAAAAGCATTTACCTACTAAGTCCTCACGAGATACAGCAGAACGGGGTGTAGTGGTCCCAGGTTCTATCTTTAGTGAAAGCCTGCATTTAGAAGAAAAAACAATCAAACAACAAGCTTGCTAAGGTTAAGGTAAATAGAAAATGTATTTTTGAGAAAGCTTTAGTATACATTTATTATTCATTTTGGACTTTGAACAGAAGTACAACTGTATATCAAATGACTTTTGCCCTTAAATACTCAAACTGAGTTAACAATATTTCCAAATGTTCACTGATAATATCTGTAACTTCTACATCAGGTTGTGATGTAGAAGTCAGGTCCAGTTTTTGAAAAATGAAACTTTGATCAGAGCTCTACTAAAAATCTCTCCACTTCATATTAAATTAGCAATACGTGGATTAGAAACCAAATGAACTTTATTCATGTTTTCTATAAATGTGAGCAAAATGACATTGCCGAAGAGGATATTTTTGTCTCTTAGCTGTTGTACTCTGGACCTAAAAATTTGTGCCTGAACTCAAATTTCACCTTAGTAGCAGAACTGTAGCAGACCAGATATGATTTTTTTTACTTTGAAAAAGAAATCTTACTAGTTGCACATGAAGTTCTGAATTAGTATATTTACAGATTTCACAGTGCTTCTGTGACACTTTGAGAATTGGGAATGCACCACTTTAACTGCCATGGCTCAATGCTATGGAATCACAGGAATCATAGTTTTACAAAATCTTTTGTCTTCTCTGCCAAAGAGGGCTTCATAGCAATAAGACATGGAAACTAAAGTGGTGTCACACTGCATTAATCCTACAGTATAATGCATCCTATGTTGATTTTAAAGGGAGAACATGCAATGGCAGCTATCATATCATTCTCAGAAGCAATAGCTGTATACTGCAGTAACTCCCAGTTACAGCCTAATAAGAGACAGTTCTCATGTGTAAAGTCAACGTGGCACAGTGGTTTGAGTGTTGGACTAGGTCTCACATAGATCAGAAGATAAATACTGGCTCAGAAATGCACTATTTATTTATCGTGTCATCAGCAACCATTGTATTACAATTCTAACAGAGCAAAACAAACACAGAGATTAAAAAGAAAAAGAAAAAAAAACCACACAGATTTTGCAAATTTGGTAGTTGGTTAAATGTCCTTTGACCAGTATCTGGCCACTTGGAGTGCCTCTGGTGTTGCCGCAAGAAGGTCCTCCATCGTGCATGTGGCAGGGCTCAGGGTGCATTGCAGCAGGTGGTCAGTGGTTTGTTCTTCTCCGCACTCGCATGCCGAGGATTCCACCCTGTAGCCCCATTTCTTAAGATTGGCTCTGCATCTCGTGGTGCCAGAGCGCAATCTGTTCAGCGCCTTCCAAGTCACCCAGTCTTCTGAGTGCCCAGGGGGGAGTCTCTCATCTGGTATCACCCATGAATTGAGGTGCTGGGTTTGGGCCTGCCACTTTTGGACTCTCGCTTGCTGAGGTGTTCCAGCGAGTGTCTCTGTAGATCTAAGAAAACTATTTCTTGATTTAAGTCGTTGACGTGCTGGCTGATACCCAAACGGGATGGGCTGGAGATGTCTCTGCCTTGGTCCTTTCACTATTGGCTGCTACTTCCCGGCGGATGTCAGGTGGTGCAATACCGGCTAAGCAGTGTAATTTCTCCAGTGGTGTAGGGCGCAGACACCCCGTGATAATGCGGCATGTCTCATTAAGAGCCACATCCACTGTTTTAGCGTGGTGAGATGTGTTCCACACTGGGCATGCATACTCAGCAGCAGAGTAGCATAGCGCAAGGGCAGATGTCTTCACTGTGTCTGGTTGTGATCCCCAGGTTGTGCCAGTCAGCTTTCGTATGATGTTGTTTCTAGCGCCCACTTTTTGTTTGATGTTCAGGCAGTGCTTCTTGTAGGTCAGAGCACGGTCCAAAGTGACTCCCAGGTATTTGGGTGCGCTGCAATGCTCCAGTGGGATTCTTTCCCAGGTAATCCTCAGAGCTCGGGATGCTTGTCTGTTCTTAAGGTGAAAGGCACATGTCTGTGTTTTAGATGGATTAGGGATCAGCTGGTTTTCCCTGTAATAGGCGGTAAGAGCACCTAGAGCTTCGGAGAGCTTCTGTTCTACCATCTCAAAGCTCCCTGCTTGAGCAGTAATGGCACGATCATCAGCATAGATGAAACTCTCTGTCCCTTCTGGCAGTGGCTGGTCATTTGTGTAGATGTTGAACATGGATGGATCAAGCACGCTCCCCTGAGGCAGGCCGTTCTTCTGTTTCCGCCATCTGCTTCTCTGGCCCTGGAACTCAACAAAAAAGCTCCTGTTTTGTAGCAGGTTTCCTATGAGGTGGGTGAGGTGGTAGTCCTTTGTGATATTATACATTTTTCTCAGGAGGAGGCGGTGGTTCACAGTATCATAGGCTGCTGACAAGTCTATGTCAGACTTGTCAGAAATGCACTGAATGACCTTGGGAAAGCCACACCTTCTCAGCTTTAGATGAAGGCAATGGAAATTGCCAAGAAAGTCATAACAGAGTCACCATATGTCTCGTGAAGGTATATAACAATAACAGCAACACAACAACTAGTCAGTACTGGTGAGTATTACAATGAAAGCAGCCATTACAGAGGAACAACAGTTAACACTATGGAGAAAAGAAGCTAGAGTTCTACAAGCAACTAAGAACTGACTAATATCTCTACAGAAAAGCAAGGCTTTAATTACTACTGACTTATAACACTATGTAACAAAATTTGAAAAAACTTCTATCCCTGGTTTAAAAGTGTTATTTCCTGTTTAATTGTGTGGTACTTCCTTTGAAAGTAGTTGTTATACTCCAGAAACGTAGCTTTTGTGGCTGTCACGAACTATGTTGAATTGGTTGAAACTCTATGATATATTCATTGAAAAACTATAGCAAAATGTGTTGCAGGATGTCCAGGAAAAACAAAGTTTTTGCTGTTTAATAAACGTTTCCCATGTTTTTGATAGAACCAATTAGGAAATAACCCCGGAACAAAAATCATGTTACATAGTGTAATTCAATATAAACAAGAAAACAAAAATTCAGGGAGTTCCTAAAAATTCCAAGCAGTCACAAAACAAAAGGAGGCTTTAACTTCATTTATCTCCTCTATGAAATACCAATCAGGTTTACAAACAATTTACCATTAAGTGAACCAGTGTTCTTTATTTTCTGCTAGATTTTCTGCTTGAGAACCAGCATGGTATATTGGTTTGAGCACTGGGCTACGACTCTGGAGATCCTGGTTCGAATCTCTAAATGGTCATAGAAAGTCACTGGATGACTTTGGACAAGTCATACTTTCTCAGCCCCAAAGGAAGGAAATGGTATCACCCCCCCCCCCGCCCAAATCTTGGTAAGAAAACCCTGTGATAGATTTGTTTTAGAGTCTCAATAAGTTAGAAATGACTTGAAGGCACACAAAACCAACAGATCTTATACTTACTTATAATTGTCATCTTCTACAAACTTTTGAAGCTCTTCTATATATTGAACAGAATTCAGGTACTTTTGAACATGAGGCAACACAGGAATGTCTAAGATAACAAGAAACACATCATTTTGTATAGTTTATTGGAGTTCTGCTCCATCTTTAACATATCATTAATAAAAAAAACAAGATACTATACTCTCATTTTGTTATTTTCATAGATTATAGTTATAAACTATTGTTGAGGAATACTAATGAGACAATGTGTGCACACACGACACGCTTGTGCGTAAAAAAACAAATTAAAACCATCCCATGAAACTAGAAAATAGTCACACTTTTGTAGATTAACGCATAAATACATATTGTAGGTATAGCAGAGCAATATTCATTATAATAGTTTTGGAAGCCAGCTTGTTAAAGCAAATCAATATACAAGACAATCCCATCCTTGTCTACACAGGTGTTAGTTCCTTTAGATCCACTGGGAGTTATTCATAGTTGCACATATGTTTACGCATTGGAATCTGAAATGGGGTGAGAGGGCAGAACTGTTACTATAGTTTTATAACTGCTAGAATTCTTCGTTCCTCAGTGGCCTCAACTACACAGATGTCTTGATGGTTCTGATCCTTGTTGCCCAATAATGGGAGATGGGGGTTGTCTGCTGAGCCCTCCCCTCAAATTATCAGGCACCAAGGATAAGGCTCAACAAGGCTCCTGTATAGTTGAGCCCACTGAAGAACTACCAATCAGAAGTGTCCTACTTTATAGCCATCTCTCAATTCGCTTAACAGGCTATTTCATTCAATATGTCTCCTCTTTTTTTGATATTTTCTTTACTGCATATGCCTGACACAATTTTATAATACTTCATTTTTTCTTTTGTTATTGTCTGCACATTAATCACATTTCAACTGTTTTAATTACTGGTCTGCTTTGCCTTCCTCTTCCTCTGCACTAAATTCTGTATATTGACAGTTCAGTAAAAGCAAACAAGGAAGTAGGAAACGATCACAATAACTTCACTGCCAATCAAGAGATGCCTCCCCTAACTAAAAAATAGCTCTGGCTTTCCTGTGGATGGTACTGCAGTCTAATACATTTATTCTATTACACTGCAGACTCTGGTACGGCTGGTTTGAGATGGTTTTAACAATTTGATTTTAAAGTGGACACAATTGATCTTAATGTTTGTGTATATTTATAGTTAGTTTTATGCCGGCACTGAATATTTGCCGTATATTGTTGTGCTCCGCCCTGAATCCCCTTTGGGGTGAGAAGGACAGAATATAAATGCTTTAAATAAACAAACAAACAAACAAACAAACAAACAAACAAACAGGACTTCTAAAACGTTTCCACTCAGGATTTTTACGTATATAGGTATATAAAATAAGTATAAAATCAAATATTTACTAAAAATACTATACTAAATATTCATACTAAAAATGGCATAGGGCAACTAAAGTATGATTTAAATGGATTCAGTGCAATGCGTTTAGTGACAAACGCAAAAAGAAGAGATGACCATAAAATGTATCAATTATGCTTACATAATTACAGCTCAGACTAATTTGAAAAAAATTATAAGAAATTGTATTATTTAGCAGGAACTACTTATTTAGGTTGTTACTTTCTGAAAGGGATTAATTAACTAATTTGCATATAACTTTACATGTAAGTGATGGCAAGGCGCTGAACAGACTGTGCTCTGGTACCACGAGATGCAGAGCCAACCTTAGGAAATGGGGCTACAAAGTGGAATCCACGACATGCCAGTGTGGAGAAGAGCAAACTACAGACCACCTTCTGCAATGCAACTTGAGCCCTGCTACATGCACAATGGAGGACCTTTTTATAGTAACACCAGAGGCCAGCAAAGGTCAAAGGACATCTAATCAACTACCAAGCTTGCAAACTTTGTGGTTTGTTTTTTTGTTTAAAAATGCAATACAACTGTTTGGTTTGCTCCTGATACGATAAATAAATAAATAGTGATGGTAACTATCACAGTGGCACTTTCAGATAAGCCCATGATCAGTTGGTGGGATTTATTATTTCATAATCTAAAAAAGAGTATGATTGCATCCTTGTATCTCAAAACATTTTCAAAAACCATTCACTTAAAAAAAAACCTAGCTTGCAATGTAATAAATGGGTTGAGGACCCAAAGCTCCCCAATTTGTGTGGAGATTTCTTTATTTGTTCTTTATTTTGGTACCTCAACCTAACCCTCTTTTTTAATCAAAGAGACAATCTGTATTACAAAATATTTATGTTAAATAAAAAACATAATTCAGTTGTTGAACAATCCTACACTTAACCTATGTAAAGTAACTTACCATATTCACAAGACTGTTGTAAATCTGATATTATTCTAAGTATGTTATTCATTAGGTTTGATCTCTGCTCATTTTCCAGAATACTTCCTGTTGATGGGTATGCTGAGTCAATGTATGTTAAGTCTGAGAGGTAAATACCTGAATGATATAAGATCACAGAGATATTTATTCATTTGGAGAATAAAATAAAAAAGCCTTCAACAATACAAAATAAAGAAAATTGAAAAAGTATGACCATGAAGTTGGAAGGGTGCCATACGTCACTGAATCCAACCTCCCACTCAATGCAGGAACTTCAATGAGAGAATCCGAAATATAAAATAGAATAACTTTGTTATTGTACATCGTACAACGAAATTATATGCCATTCCCAATCACATTATATATGTAGAATTACAAAACAAATTACTCATCCTTCCACATTCTAATCATGATTGCATAACCCTTAACACCACCTCAGTGTGAAACCATAGAGTTCAATATAGACATAGCTTTAGGATAAAACACCCTCCAAGGTTTGTTTATCCCAGAGAAGGCCTTTACATCAGTAAGATTTTAAATTCACAAAAGCCATATTTGAGTTTGCAAGTTCTGAACAAGACTGTTCAGGGTTTCTTAGATATTTCTCATTCAAAGAATCACCATACATCAAAGCCACTGTGTTTTTTTTTTTTTTGTCGTGTCAGGAGCAACTGCTCCTGTTGTGAGAGAATTGGCCGTCTGCAAGGATGCTGCCCAGGGGACGCCTGGATGATTTTTGATGTTTTATCATCCTTGTGGGAGGCTTCTCTCATGTCCCCGCATGAGGAGCTGGAGCTAATAGAGGGAGCTCATCCGCCTCTCCCCGGATTCGAACCTGTGACCTGTCGGTCTTCAGTCCTGCCGGCACAGTGCTTTAACCCACTGCGCCACCGGGGGCTCCTCTGTGATGGAAAAAAATGTAGAATTGATTTATATTTATCCTTATAAATATTGGAAATAAAATGAACTTTTCCCAGGTAAATCAGCAAACAGCAGAGAGGGCATGTTTTATTCTTTTAAAATGGCTTAGGTTGTTAAAGTATTTTTTTCTGTAAGGTTAAAGAAAAGTCTCCTTTCCAACTCACAAACTTCTCTCCCTTTGTTACACAAAGAGTTAACACTGACTTAGTACTTCTACAACGTTTCTTTATGATTGTTTCAGTAAGAACTGTTTTTCATTAAGCATACCTGAAAGAACTGAATGTGACATTTAGTCTGCATTCTTCACCACTATAAATGGTTCATGTTACATGTGTGTATACATGTATTCGTGCAGTCTCTTTAGTTCATTCCTGGTCATAAAAACTGAATATATCAGCTTGAAAAAAATCTTTCCTCTACAAAGCTTACTACCTCACTAACATAAAAGGCATCTTAAAGTAGCACACAACAATGTTGTTCAATTGCCTGAACTCTTCTTATTAATTATTTCCCCATCTGCTGCCTTCCTTTAAACCAGCAAACAATCTCTCCTTGTTCTGGCACTCCTCCTTTCTCATAATTCCGTCCTTTCTCCCAAAGTTGTGGATAGGAAATCCTTCACACCCACACCCCCCAACTCTTCAGTGACATCATATGTAGGCTGACTATTTTAGGTCTGGGCATGCGTTTGTTTAAGAAACACTCCCAAGAGTGCTGTATAAGAAAGCAAGGTCAACTGTTGCTGGTTAGTGCATTTCAGTATGCAAGTGCAAAACAAAGACAGAGCAGCTTTAAAACATCTTCGTCTTTTCTGCAGTAGAAGAAAACGATTTTGGTAAATAGCTCTCTTATCAAATTAAATGGGGTGATACATACTTGGATCTAAATATGGCACAACGAAACAAAAATAATCTCTAGAACTACACAAATGACCAGCTAAGGGTTTGAGTCAAGAATATACACAGAAGAAGCCTTTGGATTTTTAATCTACTTCAGAAGAAAACGGCATTGCAAGGTTAGTGTGTAATGTTTATACATTTCCTTTGTTGTCAATCTGCAAACCATTTTTCTGTAGTTGTAATTTGTTACATCCTGAGAGTTTTCTAAACAAATATATATATGTCTTTTATATTTTTTATATTACTGCACCCGTCATTTTTACAATCACTTTTTACAAAAGGATCATGCCTATTAAAGTCTTCTTTCCCCACTTTCAATTTGATTTAGTAGGACAAAAATGATGCTCTCAGAATGATCTTAGAAGGCAATGATAAATACTATAGCTTCCAGGGATTAAAAAAAGATTTTCAGAGTTTCTTAGAGCTAAAGTTACAGGTTAAATGTAAAAAGGAAAATAAAGGATTGCATCAGTATCTCTGAACTCCCATCACAGGTTTCTTCTTAATAATGTATTGCAAGAAAAATCTTCAGTTAAAGCATTCACTTGACTTTTCTTTATGTGAAATTAAACCCTTTTTATCATACAACCAAATAGTTTTTATACTCACTCACTAAACCTGATGCTTCACACACACAGTCTTAAATTTTCCACTGAAATTTAACACTTTTATTGTATGTGGAACAGTTCTGGCTTACGGCACATTTGCCCTAAGGAATGTTGTTTGTTGCCTGAAGAACTCAAATACTGTGAAAATAGATTCATGGGAGGAGGATCAGTTCAGAACAACTTGTTATTGAACCTGGGCTACAAGTATTCACTTTGAATGTTTTCAGCCCCAAATCACTCATATGTCCTCACTGTATGACATAAAGAGTGATGTCTGACTATAAACACTGGTTTTCTTTGAAAACTGTAACTGGCACAGAACCAGCAACAACTAAATTTCATGTTACAGTGAAGTAGACACTTACATAATACTGTTTACACATGAAACAGTTTGGATGAAATAGCTGGCTCCCGAAATTGTCCTTGGCACTGTGCTACAGAAAGTATCAGAAGACGCAAGACTAATGCATGCAGTGGACAGTAGCCCACATTTTTATCAAAAATGTTTGCACAGCAAAATGTAATACAGTTCCTAAGCTCTGGGTTTATGCTCACTGATATTTATCTAGTGCTAAGTAACAGCAAGAAATTAAGATAACAGCATTTCCATAAGAAGCAATCAAGAAAATTTTGAATTTAAGATGTTCTAAAACAGATTGTTCTGTAGTACTGCAAATCCAAACATTAATAATTAACAGGAGTTTTAAATAATGTCTCTTTTAACTATGCCAATAAGTCTACCAAATAATTCTTGGCATTTCGGAAAAAATAAACTTTTAGCATAATTTTTATAGTTTCCTCCAGCTTTCACACTAGCTGTTCAATTTAAGTAATGACTTCACTGAAATCTGTGAAAGGCAAAAGATACAAAAGCAGGATATTTCATAGCTGATAATGGAAGAGCTGTATTTGCACTTGTAGTACTAAATTGTTGGATAGCTGCCATTGTGTTGGAAAAAAGCCCACTTTGTTTCAGTAGAATGTACTGTTAACAGAATAACCACAACAAAGAAGATAATCAGTGCAGGAATTGTCATTTTAGCAGCCTGCCTTTTTAAACATTTCTTAAATGTTAACTTTAATCCAACTATGAAGAGCTTTTTTAAAATTCAAGGGTTCTCCACAGCAGATGTTGAGGAGCTATGTGTCTAAATATAGAACGATATAGCTATGAATTATGGACAATGGGGTCGAAGTGTTTTATAACATGAAGCACTATTGTGCCAAGTGGCTTAAAATCAATAGAGACAGTCCATTAGAAACTGCTAGTATAGAGATTAAGTTTAATACTATAACATTGGTTTGTCATGCCAAAACAACGGTGTCCTGTTTTTAAAACAAATCTCCCAACCCAATGCATTTTAAATCAACTATCTCCTTCTCTTTGTTATCAGTTTGTGATACTGCTTGTGGGTATACAAATGTTTCTGAGTGATTTCTTGTGAATAAACAGCAGCAAGTAAATAAAAATAAAATTACAGTTCTGAAAATGCTCCTTCAAATGTTACTCCATCGAATGAACAATTTTTCAAATGTTATGAAAACACTCACCAATGGATGAAACTTTTTGATTTGATTAAATTAAGTTCTACTATAAACAGGTCACTATATTAAACAGTACAGGTTCTGTACTTAAACATGTGACAACTATAGATTATTTAGATCAGGACTCCTTAAACATTTCCGCCATTCAGCCCGAGAAATATATGCCTGACCCCAGGTATATAGGTATATAAAATAGGTGTAACAATAACATATTTACTGATAACAAATCAGCATTTGCAAGGCTTGCTACACACTGATTTACCTTTTTATGAAGTACAGCTGAAGCACCTTCTACAGCAGTGTTTATCAACCTTCCTAATGCTGTGACCCCTTAATACAGTTCTTCATGTTGTGATGACCCCCAGCCATAAAATTATTTTTGTTGCTACTTCATAACTGTAATGTTGCTAATGTTATGAATCATAATGTAAATATCTGATATGCATGATGTATTTTCATTCACTGGATCAAATTTGGCACAAATACAATATGCCCAAATTTAAATATTGGTGGGATTGGGGGGGGGGGGGTTGATTTTATCATTTGGGAGTTGTAATTGTTGGGATTTATAGTTCACTTACAATCAAAGAGCATTCTGAACTCCACCAATGATGGAATTGAATCAAACTTGGCACACAGAACTCCCATGACCAACAGAAAATACTGGAAGGGTTTGATGGGCACTGACCTTGAGTTTGAAGCTGTAGTTCACCTACATCCAGAGAGCACTGAGAACTCAAACAATGATGGATCTGGACCAAAATTGGCACAGATACCACTGTTCTACAAATTTTCTGTTTTTCTCAGTTGCGGAAACGAAATGTGCCATTTCTTAATAAATTTAACATTCTGAATTCAAATATAATAATTAAATGCATTAATTGGCTCTGGTTTTTATGCAACAGCTATTTCAATTTTCTCCACAATAGGTAATTCGTTAATATTATGATAATGCGCCTAACCTTACTGCATGTATATAAACCGTGAATATTTACTAAATTTTAGTCAAATTATATTGCCAATAGTTTATACATGAGAAATATTTAATTAGTCTATTGTTTATGTTTGTGCAGCAAGAAACTATATAAGTAGGCCTAATGCAGTTGAAAAGTCTGAAAGTTTAAATGTCGCTTTAATCATGACTTTAGTTTATATCATGTTTGCTTCTCTTGACTTTTCTTTTGTATTCAAGGAAAGGATTGTCTCTTACAATGCTCCAGCAGTAGGCTGACAGCATTGACGGAGTCCATTTACCTTGATATCTTTTTTCCATAGTGCTTTATTTACACACGTGCGAGGCATAACTACAGTAAAAAGAACAATGTAAAACGATGTTTAACGATACTGTCTCAGTCTTCAACTGAATGACCCTCACCGTTCAAAAGTCTGGCCTTATATAGGACTTTCTGGCTTTTGCACATGGCACTAATACTGTGTCATCAAACTTTCTAGAATCTTCCATAGTGTAAGTCGCAACATGCATTTTTTCAAACATACGTGATGACGTGATTGCTTATATCATAAAAACTAGAGCCAATATACATTTTTAAATGTCATTTTCATTTTCAGCACCCCAAAATCATAAAAGAACAACTATTTTCAGGCCCGCAACTTTTTCTCCGTTGAACAGTGTACTCAATATGCCCAAATGTGAACACTGGTGGAGTTTGGGGAAAATAGACATTGACATTTGGGAGTTGTAGTTGCTGGGATTTATAGTTCACCTACAACCAAAGAGCATTCCGAACTCCACCAACAATAGAATTGGGCCAAACTTTCCACACAGAACCCCCATGACCAACAGAAAATACTATGTTTCCTGATGGTTTTTGGCTCCCAACCCCAAATGAGATCCCCCTAGCTGAGTATTGGGATGATGAAATATTTGGCAAGGGTAAAAAAAATCTAAACATTACCTAAGTGGCTGTTTTAGACATTCACATGAATGAGTTGTGCAGTGTTTACAGTAGACTTTGTAGAACATTGTTTCTCAACCTGGGGGTCGGGACCCCCGGAGGGATCGTGAGGGGGTGTCATGATCTCATCCCGAAGGGGACTCGGAGCGGCTTACAAGATCTCTATCTCTCTCTCTCTCTCTCTCTCTATATATATATATATATACACACACACACACACACACACAAACAATACCTTATACCATTAGCACAGTACAATATCAGCACTATACATCACTATATTGTACTGTGCAATTATATTGTAATATTAGTAATATTACATGTAATATAAAATATATAATTATAATGTCATATTATTATTAGTATTATTATACTGTATTACACTATATTATAAATATTATATGTATATATAATATATTATAGTATATTATATACTAGCATAGCACAGGAGACAAGGTGGAACTGTCCCCTGGCCTCCTCTCTCTTCACTCTGGCTTGAAGCGACGGTTGTTGCTGGGGGGAGGGGTCTCCAATCATGACATATGCAAGAGACAAGATGAAAACTAAAATTTATGAAATAAAGGTCTTTGAGTGCATATGTTAAAACATTCTAAAATGCTATTGCCCTGAAAAGGTATTTTTCAAGGTACGATTTAAGTAAAACATTATATACTTTCTATTAAACTTGATGCCTTTGTTACTTCACATCAGTGTAGATAAGCTGGCTTTACTTTTTAAAGAGTTGTTTGTTACTAATTCAATCTTTGCTATAAAAACTTTAGTAGGAAATAGATTAAAAAAATCAAAATTTATCAAAACAAATTGAAGAATGTGCCCAGAAAACAAATGTCATGAGACTTGTTTCATTCACAGTGCCAGTGTATCAGAACACATTTAGAAAATGGATAAATATATTTACTGATTCTTGTGTTTTCACACTGATACTAAAATAAAAGTTAAAAGATATGCTGCAAAGAATAGATTTACCTTAGGTGGTAAGAGAATAAAATAGAAAAAGAAATAGTGTATCATTAATTCTTCAAGATA